TTTTTAACATTTAAAGATTCATCATCTATGTTTCCATGTGTTGTCATTTGTAATTACAAATACATGTAACCTTATTTAATTAGTTTATAAAATACAATTTATTTACTATGATGACATTTAGTGGGCGTCCAACACATGCATAATGTTATTTCCACTAGTACAAAATAGGCTTTTAACATCGGTTCTAGAACCGATGTAGAAAGTCTAATATTTTTATTATATTATTTATATTTTTTAGGAATTTGAATTATTATCAGATTAAGAGAATTGTCATCTGCAAGATTCGAACCCGAGCACCTTAAAGTCAAAAGTCGATATTCCAACCACTAAGCTACTAGGATTTTCTCGATAATAACTTATACATAAATTATATTTATATACAAATAAAAATGTATATCCATGTAAATATATAAATATAAAATATATAAATACAAATACAAATATATTTATATATTTATATGCTGGATGTGAGGGTGCGCTCGAGGATGAAAGTGTGTGTCGAGTGAATTTTCAAAATTTGATGTCAAATTTGTGAGCGAGTCTCTTTATATGGATTATAACTTAATGACAAAATATAATCTTTATAATTTATTTATATAATGATATAAAATAATTTTTTTCTTTATTTTATATCATTATATAAATTAATTATAAAGATTATATTCTATATTATTATAAATAAATTATAAAGATTATATTCTATTATTAAATTACAAATTCATATAAAGAGACTCGCTCACAAATTTGACATCAAATTTTGAAAACCCACTTGACACACACTTTCACTCTCGAGTACGCTCTCACATCCAACATATAAATATATTTGTATTTGTATTTATATATTTTATATTTATATATTTACATGGATATATATTTTTATTTGTATATAAATATAATTTATTTATAAGTTATTATCGGAAAATCCTAGTAGTTTAGTGGTTAGAGTATTAGTCTTTAATTCTAAGGTACTTGGTTCGAATCCTGCCAAGAATAATTCTCTTAATTTTATAAAAAAACTTTCTACATCGGTTCATCCGGGAACCGATGTAGAAGTGTTTTCTACATCGGTTCATAACTAAACCGTTGTTGAAAGTCTTGAATTCACTTTCTACATCGATTCTTAAAGAACCGATGTGGAAAGACCGATGTTAAAAGTGATTTCAGTACTAGTGTTCATAATAGTAGTACAAGTATCATCTAATAATCAATACCATAAAAGTTATGTCAAAGCATATACTCCTTTTGATTGTTAAGGATCAATAAAATGCATGCAACAAAAAGTCATATGTTGAATATCAAATATTTGAATTTATTAATTGAAATCATAAATATCTACAATTACATGCAATCTATTACAGAAGAACAATCCAATTTTTTAACACAGACTATATGTACAAACTATTCGATAATGACAAAAACTATACATTATTTAAAATAACATTTATAGTTTCTATTAATCAAAATACATTTTCTAACCCGATATATAATGTCACTATGGTTTTTGTCAAAAACTCACAACATGTCAACACACCTCTAATCTTGCCTTTTAAGGCAATAAAAATGGTGTAGTTCTACCTAACCACATCTTGTCATCAAAAATCAAGTCAAATTCCAATTTGAAACAAAAATGAATTGATTGATCGAAATTATATGAAAAAAAACATGTATAAGTTAATTAGCTGGATAATTGTTATTTAGTTAACTAGTTAATTGTGAATGGAGGGATTAACTAGTAGATTCGCTCATTCATCTTAAAAAATAAGTATGATGTAATCTTGCAATTTCATGTGGATCCCACTATCTATAAGGTTATTGTTAGTGATAATAAAAATATTATTTCTCTTTAAGGTGAATTTAGAGATATGATTGGTGTACTCCAACCATAAGACTTAAAGAAAAAGGAAACTTGGTTTGCAAGTTGGCCAAGTCTTTGTACAGTTTAAACTGAGTGTCCAGGTGTAAGTATAAGAGATTGATTCTTCATGATTAATCTTGATTACAACAGACTAAGTTCAAAATATTGTACTTATTACAATAGATTTAATGAGAATGATTTTATCATTTTGTCGTTAAATGTGACTGACATGTTGATGGTAGACTCCAACAAAGTTTGAATCCAAGTTTTGAAGACACAATTGATTATGAAGTCTGATATGAAGAACTAGGGACCAACAAAGATTTTAGGGATGCAAATTCACCGGGACATGAGGGATAGGAAGGTTTGACTTTATCAAAAAAACCTTCACCATGTAATGGTGTAAGCCAATTTTTATCCTATTTTCTATCAAGTTATCCTCAAGTATGAATCCTAACAATGAAATAGGGAGGATAAAAATATCTCGAGTATTGTATGCACTGATGCTGTGAAATTTTACGAATATCATGATCGCTATAAGACTAGACATTGCACAAGTAATAGGAGCGATTAGTAGATTAATAACAAATTGTGGTAAAGAACATGAGTATTATCAAGAGAATTCTTATCAAAGGAACCTTGGATGTTGTATTATATTTTGGAGGATTAAAACTAGTTGTCAGATGCTATGTTTGTTTAGATTTTGCAGGTGATCTTGATGAATTTACCTTTATTGGAGAGACAATAATTGGTTATCCAAGTTATAGGATGATGCAACTCTGTCTAGCACATAAACTGAGTACATGACAGTCATCCAAGCATGTAAGAAAACTATTTGGGTTAAGGGGATAATGGAGGAACTTGTAAAAGAGTATTGTAATATTATTGCCTATTAATTATTTTTATTTTTGTTTTATTTTTTTTAATTGCGAGTTTTTATGCAGCTACATTGATTCCTAACCGTTCTAAAAGCGAAGAATATAATAAAAAAATAATACTACTAATACAAAAAATAATTTTCTCTTTTTTCCATTGGATGTCTTTATATTAAATTAAAAAAAATTATGATAAAACAACGTAATTTAATTTTTTTAAGAAATAAAAACCGGATGACCCTTATCCGCTAGGCTTTACCGGTTCTTTCGATTTTCAATTGATTTTTTTAATTTTGATTGGTTCTTTATTTATCCAAATTTTAAAAAGATTTGGAATGGGTTATTGCACCGAAACCGATCGGTCCGTTTTGATAACCACATCTAGGGATGGCAATTAAACCCATCCCCGTGGGGACCGACCCGTCCCCACCCCGAGTTTGAAGGGGAAAACCCGAGTTGACCGGGGCGGGCGAGGCGGGTTCGGGTTTTCCCGTTTTAAAAGTCGGGCGGGGCGGGATGGGTAATGCAATCCCCACCCCGACCCCGACCCCGTTCCCGCCCCGACTTTATATTTAAATTTAAATTTTAAAATATTAATATTTTAAAAGTATTTTCTTTTCTTTTTCTATTACATATAAAGTCATTTTTTTATATTTTACCAATTTTTATTTTTCTTCTACTTATTTTTTAATTTTTTAATCTTTTTTAATCTTTTATATCAATTAATTTATTATATTATTCTCTCTTATACCTTGTAGTTTTTCATATTTTCTTAATCTCTCTCATCAATTTGTTTTTTTTTTCAATCTTTTCAATCAATTTGATGAACACAGTTAATTTTTTTATTCTTTATATTTTTCTAAATATTTTACATAAATCTTAATAGTAACTAATATTATTTTATTTATAATTTATATTTATTAGGTTTTATTATGTCATTTGTTTATCTTATTATTCTTATTTATCATATATCAAATTTTATCTTAATAAAATAATTATATTTTAAAGGATTAAAGGAATTGATAATTTAAACTTTTATTACTTTGAATTAATTGAATAATAATTAACTTATCAAATATTTTATTATAAACTATATATTTCATATTTTTAAATTACAACTTAAAAATGAATTAACTTATATATATAATCAAATGTTTGAATACAGTATTATAATAATAATGATAATGTTATAAGTATTCAAATATTTGAATACAGATATTATAATAATAATAATAATAATGTTATAAATAAAAAATGATTAAATATTTCTTTTACATACATATTTTAATATAAATATAATAAATTAAAATGTATATTTAATTAATAATTATTATAAATTATAAAATTATAAATATTTATTTATATATAAAAAATAGATAGTAAAATTAATTTATTATAAATGTAATTATCTTTTTAAAAATAATATAGATCGGGGACGGGCGGGACGGGAACCCGAAACCCAACTGGAACTGGGATGAGAACTTAATTTCTAACCCGGTGGAGATCGGGGCGGGACGGGATGATTAAAAAGTCGGGGCGGGAATCTGGGAGGCAAAACCTGCCCCCGCCCCGCCCGTTGTCATGCCTAACCACGTCTATAACACAATTTTTTATAATAAAATTATTTCTCAAAACTATTCCTATAATAACACACTCTTTTAATTTTTTTTTAAATATCTGGAATTATTATTTACTTTAAAATTTCCTCTAATGCTAAAATGTTTTATTCAATTCTGATTTTTCTTAAAATAAATACTTTTACCTTTTTCATGTTAAATTATTATTTTGTGATTTAGATATTAATTATTCATTTTAAATTAATTCTACTTATTAAATTGACTTCCTTCTTCTTTCTTCTCCATGCTTTTTTTTTCCTTCCTTCTTCCATTCTCTCTCTCTCTCTCTCTCTCTCTCTCTCTCTCTCTCTCGTATGTCTTCCCGAGAAGATGTTTCGATTACCTCCTCCGCCACCTCCTCAAGCACCTGATGGCGTTCCTGCTATTCCCGTTCTCGTTATCATTGCTATTTTCGTTGTCATTTTCTAATCGGCAAAAGGTAACAGATATCACTACACCACTGCATTCACTCTTACGAACAATGTCTTCGTTTTTAGGTTTAGCAGCTTCTTCTTCACACATTTAACAGCGTTCTTGAAAGGTGTATATTATCTGTCCTAGTCCAAGTCCTGTCGCTTCAAGAACACTACGTTAGTCGAAAGTTATAATAACCTTTTGAGTCAATAATCGTTGACGCCGTGTTTTCCCAAGAAAATGAGTCAAGAAAGTGGAACCGCCACATTCTCCGCGTCGTCTCCTTCGAATGATGACGTGCAGGATCCTAGCAAGTAAACTTCGATGAATAATTTATTATATTGATGTTCTTGATTCGAATGTTTATTTATCAATATTTTCTTCTTCCAATTATTACTATATTAATATTTTCTTGATTTCTTGAAAAAATAGTATGTTTTGATTTAGGCATATTTTAAGCTTGTGCTGTGTTTATATGTATATATATAAATTTCTTATTATTTCTTTGTTGTTACGATGAATATTCTTTCCGTCTCGTGGCTGAGAAACTATCGAGTCATATTGCACCTTTTCTGTTTTATAATTATTAGAATCGTTATAGATTTTGATTTTTTTTTATGACAGTAGCCTTTACTTTGGTGAGGGTCCAGAGTTATGCATCTAATGATAAAAAATTTGGATTAGTGATTCTGCAACCTTTATTTTAGCTACTAAGCAACACATTGTTATGACTCGAATTTGATTAAGATCCGTTTGTTTGATTTGGTGCTGCAGGCGGTCAAAAATTTCATATACAAGAGAATTTCTTCTCTCCTTAGACAAAGCGGACAGAATAGTGAAGTTACCCTTGGAGGCTCAATCCTCAATTTCATGGTTAAAGAAAAAAAAAAAAACTCATGCAATTGTGTTTTTAGAAGATTACCTCTTAATTAATTGGTGCTTGTTTCTTTAACAGTGTGGTTGATGAAGCAGCTGGCATTTTATCTTCGCCTTTATTTGTTCCAGGTGTATAATTTTGGTTTTCTAGTTCTACTTAATAATTGCCAATCTGCTTACTAGCTAAGTTCTTTTCATTAATGTATATCTTTAACTATTCGTGCTTCTCGCACAGATACCAGATGTCAAAAAAGTGTACCTCGAAATTTTTCTCTAGGGGTTCCTGGTGATGCTAATAGCCTATTGCATAAAAGTGATGAACCATATCGGCCCCCATGTCGCTACAAGGTCTAACATTAAATTTATGTTTATATATTAAGAATTTAAGAATAGAGTAGATATGGTTCCCATAATTTAAGTTAGATTGAGGTGTGTGAAACCTTTAATTTCTATTGTGTTAAGGGTCCATACTATCATGGTATTTTTCAGGCCCTTCCTTCAACTAGACATACCAATGACTTGCTCAACGGTGAAATATCTGGATCTTCTGAGTGTACAAATCAAGAGATAGCAGATCGGGAAATATGGAGAAATGGTCTGACCCTTTTTATATGTAATTCTCTTGTTTTTTGAACTAGTCATTTAAGGTTATTATGCCATTTTGTCAGGAAGAACTTCAACATGTGATCCATCGGAGGCTTATATCTCTCCTACCAGTGTGGATGAGGGAAAAAAACAGTTCCTTTCAATGATTGATGACTGTGAATCATCTACGGTCTATTGTAGAGGCATTTCTGTTAGCATGAAACAAAATCCGTCCAGGCCTGATTTCCATATTCAACAGGAGTTGAAATTAAATTCTTTCAGTGGCAGCTTAGATGGAGAATCAAATTCGAGCTGTGAACTTTGTTTGCCTGACGAAGACAGTTTAATTACATTTGACGAACTATTCTCGCTGCCTGATGTGGAACCTTTGGCTGTGGTTAATAGTTCCATGTCTAGTAGCCCTGAAAGGAGCCGAATTGAAGCTGACGTGTTTAGTCCAAGCTCACCTCGAGAAATGATTGAAAAGCTAGTGGAATTTATCCTCAATGAAGAAAGTTCTACACCACGTGTGGATGATCCAATCATGCACCATGGAGCTGGATTGGAGTGCTTTCCCCACTCTATGCATGAACAAGAAGCTCACTCACACTTCGGCTCCAATCATTTGAATCCAGAGAGGAGGGATCAACAAGACCATAATAGATTGCAAATAAACTCCATTGATTCAGCCATATATTCTTTTTTTTCCCACAGTTTCCCATCCAACACATTTTCTCAACCTTTTCCTCTTTATCATGATGAGCTGAAAACGTTTGATCATGAAGTTAGTCAGACAATGTTCCAGAACATTATAAATCCAGGCAACCTTCATCTCTGCTCATTAAATGTATCAAAAAGTGGCGTACCACCGCACCTGTCTGGAATCCAGATGGCTTCTTGCACACAGAAGTTAAATTCAATGCAGCCCTTTGCGTATCAGGAACCCAAAAACTATGGGGATTTTGTAAAACCAAGTCTGGGTAAGAAATCACTTCATAATGTTTTCTACGAGTCATGTTGAACTGAAATTTAAATGTTTCGATTACTGATATTATTCTACCCATCGTTAGACTTTCAGGGTGATAGTAACATTAATCCAGCTCCAGTTGACAGTTACGTTGAAATGAAATTGCGAGCAAATCACTGGCATCCTCATGTGCAAGGATTCTAGTAGCAGACTTTCGAGCAACAGCCAACACTGACTGACTTGTTTACCCAGACTTCTCATTTTTTTTTTTTGTAGTGAAACAGTTGTGAAGCCGTGTAAATAGACCTCTTCTAGCCACCGTCTGAACCAAGTATAGTACATAGAAATTTCATAACTGGAAATTGTATGACACGTTAAAGAAATCTATGAGTAAACAACGGATGTGATATTGGCAGTTAAACAGTAAGCCAGTAACTTTCTCGGATGTGATATAGGCAGTTAAACAGTTAGTCAATGGTAGTAAGAGTAACTGACTGAACAGTGTTTTTTCATGGGTGACCATCAATTTGGTTCTCAGTTTTTACTACGTAGCATTTAGTATTCCTTTGCGTGATAAATAAAACTCTTGTCATTTTTAATATTTAGTTGGATTTCTAGATAATTCTTTCGCCAAATTGACTAGCACCTTAAAAGGAAATAGCAAGGAATTCAACTAGGAAGCAAAGCGTCCTTTATCAACCAAATGTGTGAATTGAGAGATAGACTTCCTCCAGTCAGTTAAATCCCTGCGACAATGTTTTGGTTCTTAAGAAGTTAAAACATAACTCTCCAATCCAATTATGCTATGTGAGTTGAATAAATTTCAGTTGGGTTCATATTGCACAAAGTGAGGATACATGGACAATTACAATGAAACAAAACATTCATTGCACAACTCTATACTAATAAAATAATCATATATGGATAATCTTATATTATTAAAAAAAATTGCCTAACAGTTGTTTGTAGAAAAAAGTTGTCAATCAATTCTTTTCCTGCTATACATGTTCATATTTCAGTGCTAAATTTTGTTATGCTGTACAAAGTTGGGTGTTTAATAGGGAATTATTTGGCTTTTCAGATGTTACACGTTTGGCTGAATCTAGCACACAGATAACTGTGCATACCTATGCTAAACTATGTACCCTAAGCATTTTCACCATTCTTTTATTATATACATCTGAATTCAATTATGGGAATTTACGAAACCTTCCTTGGATGAGATGATGAGCAATAACATTTACTTGAGCCAGTTTCCATGCCAAGGATTCTTACCTCATCATGCAAAATTCTACAGACTGCATTCAGTAGCTGAAAAACAATGCCATTTTCTGCTTCCACCCATCTAAGTTACACTCTTCAACTGCACATCAAGCATGACTTGATCTGTATTGATATAGTTATCTGACTCAGGTTCCACCTCATATGATGCAAGCAGCCTTCTCTGCATGAATAAATATAAAGTTTATCATCTTTTCCTTTATTTCTTATCATTCAATTTAATGAAAATTCCAATCCATAAATGATGCATTTATTATTGAATCATGGTGTGTTGTGGACAGATTTGGAAATATAGGGATCATTTCATGCCAAGAATCATTAGAAAAGGCCTTCAAAAGCATACTCAACTTTATTGGCCTAAGAGAAGGGTGAGGCTCAAGTAGGAAAAAAGGTGCATTCATCATTATATAATCATAGTAATGGTAATACAAAGATAATTGATATGAATACTTACATGGTCCTCAAAATCTGGGTTTGCTAAATTGATAGACAGGTTTCTCATCAACAATAGCACCTAAAATGTAAATTACAAATTAATGATGTGAATAATAATAGGAAAGAATGATTGACAAAAGAAAACAAGTTGACAAGTACTTACAGTCTCAACATCTATAGGGTCCATCCGTTTTAGTTTCTGAAGATGTCCAGTTACATTTGGATCAAATACACTGCCAATGAAGCCGTATACTTCACCAAAATCAGGAAGAACTGTTTTAAAAACAGGAAGATAAAACATTTAAAATATTGAGCAGAAAACTATCAATATCATCTGTGAAACAAGAAACAAAAAACTTACTCCTCAAGGGCCAAAACAGATTTCTGTATATAAAGATTAAATGATTCACAAAACAAGAAAAACAGGACATGCTATTGTTTCCACAGGGTGAGTAAACATTAAAATCCCAAAATATTCAAGACACAGACTGTATCAAATTTAATAATTGGAAGGTACTATATGGTAAATATCAGAATCAAGAAATTATTTAGCATTATTTGACGAGTACAGCTAAATTCAGATAAAAGCTAAACTTGTGAATTTGCTGGCAGTTAAAGCACTGTTCAAATGAATATTTCAGAAGACTTAGACAATGATAATTAAGATTCATGTCTCAAATTGATGGGAAATAGAGTCCAAATTTACTCTGGAACCCACAAAGTTCCTTTTTTGGTATTTAAACTGAAATAGAACACTGTACACACTGAAATGTACAGCATATGCTACGCACACCGATTATGTTTGTATAACAATTTACAACCTTGTCATACACACAATGTAATAATTGAACATGACAACAAAAAAATTAGAAATAAATCATTAAACCCTTGCCTCTCAACGAATGGATATTATTCCCTTGACCATTAGATTCACCAACCAACTGTGCTCTGGGACTTTCACTGCTGCTGCAACAATTATTCACTTTTTGTCCTATAACACATGATATGGTACACACGATAGTTAATTAATATCTGAAAAATTATGCAAATAACACCCACAACCATTTCCATGATAATGTAATCTAAATTTAAAGTATAGAAAATTCAGCATTTAGTACCATGCAATGCATTGGTGGTGGTTTTCTGCAGAGAGTTGTTTGACCAGGAAGACACTGCAGTGTTAATAATAGGAGTTTTAAGCATTGCTGAAGAATCATGCTTTATTGTGTATCCTGGTTCAAGCAAAGCGGATGATGATTGAAATAAGCCTGATACTTGTGACAACACTGGAACTGCCAAATATCACTAACAATTATTAGATACAACTGTATTGAATTGTGAAATGTTAAATATAGTGAAGATTCAAACCATTTTTTGAAGCTTTTTGAGGATATGGATGAGCAGCTTTTCTTTTTGGTCTGGGTGGAGGAAGATGTTCACTTGTCCCACTCTTCTGAACTTTTAGAAAGTATTTCTGAGCATGGCTACGTATCTACAAAATCAGTAGTAATTTTTAGGTCCTTAATATTGGAACTTTTGAAGAAATAGTAGAAACTCAACAATAAATAAAACTTCAATCTATTCTTTGATCTTTAAATTCATTTAAGCTACAAACACTCAACCATTCAATATTCAAGAACATATTTCTCTTCTTTTCACTTTCAGTTAACAACATAAAAGATTTCTTTCAAGTTAGCCAACTGATGATATCCCAGAAGGAAAATTGCATTATTCTAGTTAAGACAATAAAACCATTCCTAAATCTACATCTAACAAATTATACTTTTAGGGTTGTTGGTTCCTTGACATGATATAAATGTTCATATGACTAAATGTTCTCAAGTTTTAATCCATGACATATCCATTCTAATCTACTAAAATGGATTTCAATACGAAGCATTACGAGCCTCTGCTTTGTCCATGTTTTAGAAAGCTGAAAACTCAAAAGAAGTTGTGATTTCTTTCTATAGCATGCATGAGTAACTCAAAAACAATAGTCTGGACATGTTTTAAAATTTCAGCAGAAGTGATTTCTTGTATAGCATGCACATGCTAAGTTTAAATTCAGGTTGATCCTTATATAGCATGTGCATGAAACTCAAGTAATACTTCTTCCATTCCAAAATAATAGTTTTTTTAAACTTTTTTTTTCTTCAAATGACAGTCCTTTTAACTTTCTTAAACTATTTTTTTCAACAATAACTCTGCCATTAATTAAGATTAATTAATAAATAAATTTCTATTAATTGAGTTGAGTGTTTGCTAATAAGTTGTTCATAACAATACTGTTATTTTTTGAATGGTGGGAGTAGCTTGAATAAATCTTGAATGGATGCTATTAAAATTTGGAACTTTCTTAAAATGAACAGCTGGTTGTACAGTTATTAACTTAAAAAAAAAAAATAATTCTCACGGAGAGACAGAAAAGTGTTATGGACCATGGGTCAATTAAACGTACTTCAAAAACTATACCAAACCTAACTCAACCAAGGACATCTATCGCTAAACCAAACAACTGGTGTAAATTTTCAGTCGCAGGTTGCATCTGAAATTACCTGGATAACTGTCTTTGATCCAACAAATGCTTCAATCTTTTTCCAGTCACGGTCAAACCTTCATACAGAATGACAGGAACAAAAACAATGGATGAGTTATTATCAAAATTTACAATATAAACAACTTGGTACTTTTCAGGTGTACTTGATTGCAGAGAAACAACAGTATTTGTCACTTTGCCTTTAAATTTGTTCTTGGCTAGGTTTGTGTTTATGGCTTCTCTTAGGTACCTAGGTTATTTGTTCCTGGTTATTTAAAGGAAAATTTGATTGAAAGTCAGAGATCAACCCCAGCTCTGTTGCATTTACTAGATACTGCTCACTGTTTTCTTCTCATTCTTTTCTATTCAGGAGGATTTCTTAACCTCTCGCAAGTTTTAACTTCTATCTTTTCTTTCCAATGATGTAAATTATGTAGAAATATCAAGAAAATCATTACATTTTATTCTTTCCTATCCATAATGTAATAATTTTCTTAACATTACTAAGTTTGCTGTGAGAGGCATTTACAAGAACCTTAGCTCTGGTCATTCTGCCATATATATCATGAAACAATCATATATTTACCATGCTATTGCTATTACAATCCCAAGGTGATTAGTCCAATTGTCCTTGTGTCTGTAATGCTAGTATTCAGAGGAATCCAATGTAAACGGGATAGAATTTACCACTCCAACTTGCTTAGAATTAAGTGAAACTTTAATATAAAGCATCTTTATTACCATTCTCTCTCCTAGACAAGTGACATTCCATATTAGATCTTTGCTCTATCACATGCCACATTCACCCCTCTATATTAAATTGGAAACTACCACGGTATGCAACAAACGTATCAAGGTTATAAAACACTGTTCACCACGGAAATGTTAATGTCTTTGGAGGTGTCAATGATCAGGATTATACCCACTTCATTTATCTACCATTTTTTACTGATATAAAAAACAAGTTCAACCACAATTTAAAACCTTGTATAAGGTATACCACTAATACCCATGTCTCAGTTGAACTTCAAAATCCACACACTACATTCTAGTACAAACAAATTAAAAAAAGACGGGAAAAATCGACATACAATTGAAGAGCTTCGAGGAACTTGTCGTGTTCGGGTTCTGTCCAGCTCTCCCTAGACTTGGTGATAGTGTAAGGTTTGCGAGTCTTTTTAGCAGGGTCTTCAAGCGAATCCGCAGCGGCGGTGAAGGGGAGGATTCCTGGGAGCGACATGCCAGAAGGGTCCAAGTAGAAAGCCTCAGAGGGGTTGGGGTTTTTGGACACCATCTTCCTCTTCTTAGTACTTAGTTTTTTGAAGCTTTAAGATTTATTTTGTATTGTATGGAGATAGATAGATGCGGTGGTTAGTTAGAGCAGAACTGAACCACAAAAGATTTTATAAGAGATAGTTTCCCAATGCACTCTGCTTTTCACTTCCTACCTTTCAACAACCAATCCTCCTTTGCCACCTCGCCATCTAACAAATTACAATTCAACTCCTTTTTTTTTTAGTATTTTTTCATTCACTTTTTTTATTTCTATCTTCTCTATAAAGCTTAGGGATATAGTTTGGATATTTCTAAAATATCCAAACATTTAATTTTTATGAGTACGCGTCACTTCTACACTTGTTCTTATCATGGTAATTAGTTTCCACCTGAAAATAATATTTGATGTCCCAAGTGAAGTTTGATAACATGGTTTGACCAGTGTAAGTCTAATTAGAGATAAATTACAGTTAGAATTGGAGAAGGATCAATTCATGAGGAAGATGGCAACAGTGGTTTTTATTTCAGTAAAATATCTTCAAATTGTAAAGTCCATTTGACATAATTTATTTACAAGAGACGTGTCATGTATGATGTACCATTTTCAGTGAGACAATGAACACGTTCTGTGCCCTGCGGGCAAAGAAAGAACTATATCATGCCACTGTTTACTTGATGGAATTTAATTAGCATCATGCACAACTTGACTTTAAAACAGAATAAATACAAAAACAAATAATTTCCTGATCTTTAATATAATTTTTGACAAGACTTCCATCTTAAATTGAGCAATTGATTTCGAAAAGGTTAAGTGTGCCCAACAGTGTATAAAAAAAAAATATCACAAAACGCCACCAAAACATGTGTCGCTCGACCTTTATGAATTCAGCCTAATTACACCACTTGTTAGATGTAAAAGACAAAATACCATAAGAAAAGAAATTACTTTTTTTTTTTTTTTTTTTAATTCCACCAAAACAAACAGTTTTATTTTTGAGACTTATAATAAAGGATAGAGCAACAAGTTCATGAATAAAAGAGATACTATTTAAATATTACTATCTTGGTTTCATCTTAGTTTTTAGGTGGGAGAAGTAATACTGGAATTGCATAAACTGGTTGAAGGAGATAAAGCAGAGTGTATTAGTTAGCCCTTGGATTTTTTTATTTTTTTTAATAAAACGACAGAGAAAGTGACAATTAAGTGTTTTGTGACGTGTCGATGAAATATGGGTTTGGGGGAGAAAGGCCATGGCCCACAAGGCCTTGGTGGTTGTAAGGTGGTGAGAGACACACGAAGCTAAGCCACATAACATGATGACAGATATTTTCTGCTGGGCCCACTCCAATTTAAGGGGCTTGTGAGGACCCAGTGGCCCATTTGCTGTGTCTTTCTTTTTCCCTTTTGTTTCTTTCTCCCTTGTCTCGCTAACTCTGTTGCTTGCTCTGTCTCTCTTCACTTCACTTGTGCTTATTGCACTTTCCTATGTTGCAGTAAATCCACTTCATCAACTCATATTCCTGTCTATGTAGACAACAAAACACAATTAAAACATGTTAAGGAAATTTCTCCTGCTCGAATCTATGTACATATATGTAGCCTTTGACTTCATTCAAATCAAAACCAATTACTGTAACTATAATTTCATTCATCTATATGTGTCAGTAAAAGAACTTTTTCGATTCATAATTTAGGACAATTAGATAAGGTATAGATAATCAATAATATTGATTCAAATGAACGTTTTTGTGGATTTGATTCCTTCACTCTTAGAAGTCTGTCCTATAAAAGAAATGGATGGAATGAAGGCATAAAGACACTGTTTTTTCAATCATAAATGAAAGGAAGAGGTACAAGGTTTTTTCTCATGTATGTCATGTTTAGGTTTTAGATGTAACCCTTTCCCAATTTCTAATCGATCAACTCTTTCCTCGAAGCTCTGTTTATTATAATTGACATGATACAACACGCGTGAGATTTATCATTCTTCATACATTTATAGGTTCTTTTGAAATGAAATTTCAGAAGAAAATTATACATCGGATGATAAAATCTGTGAGGTAAATTTTACTCTCTCAATAACACAAAATATAAAAGTGTTTATGGGCCATAAGCACATAAACATTTTCAAGAGACATAACAATCACGTTGTTTATGGGCTAACTAACACCAACGAGGCCCAAAGTTTCATCCATCTCAGCCTAAACAATATGAACGTATGCCAATTTTGAATATTAGTTATTCACATTTTTTACAAATTTGCTTTGTCTTCTAATATACTTTTATATTATGACTTTCAACCTTACTTTTTATTTTTATTTTTTTATAACAGTGTCTTTAAAAGCTTTTATTTCTTCATTAGGGCAGGTAACTTCTTTCTAAGTTCAACTTTTTTTTCTTTTTACATATTTATTTATTACTTGATTTTAATATGATTTTAAATTTTAATTTAATATGCTACGCAAACTCAAATATTTATCTTATTAAATTATATTTCAAAATTTTTGTTATTATATTAATCCATCCCAATTTAAATTTGTATAAATCTTTAATTTTAATATATTAATAGCAGGATATGTATTGATTTCAATGATTTATATCCACTATTTTTATAAATTCGTAAGCAGTGTTAGATCTCTATCATTGATTTTTTGATTAAATAATATATTATTGATAAATATGAAAAAATAAATATATAAAAAATGTGATAGAGTAAAATTATAAATATAGTATAATTGAGATTGTTCATGTAACTTGGTAAATTATGACTATTTATCTGAATTACTACTTTGTTTCTGTAAATAGGATATTTGTAATAAATACTTCTAAAAAAAATTCTTATTTTAAAATATTTTAATTAATATTATATATATATATATATATATATATATATATATATATATATATATATATATATATATATATCATCTTATGAATTATGTAAACATTGAAAATTACAGGAACTTAAAAGTAACGTTTTTTTCAAATAACTAAAATTAGATATAATCATATTTACAGACATTTAAAATATATTTAATTTTTGTAAATGAAAAGTACGGTTGCTTTAAAATTCAATTTGAAAATTAGAATTGTGGCAGACACGGAGACGAATGTGCAACGAAACGTCGTCGTCATCATTCACCACAAAACCATAAATACTACGTAGTCTCCATAACCGACTCAAGTAATGTTCCAGGATTCAAACACGTAGTAACATCATGCCTCTTTTTTTTTTTTGTCTGCCTAACATGATGTCCTTTTTGTTCACAACTACACTTTTCTTCTCAATAAATCTGTCTAGGCTAAATTTTCAAACAAGCTTTAAAAAAATTAGTAACAGAGAAATTTCAGGCAAAAGTCAATACTGTTCTATTTTTTACTTCTATGTACTGTAACATATATGCTGTCATTTCTATAATTTTTTTTTTTAATTATAAGCTAACATTGTTATCTAATATTCTCTAACTCTAAATTTAATTGCAGTACCAAACAGTGGGTGAAGAAAAGAAAACTATATTATTTGCCTGGAGTTTATGGGTTAACTTGGCTCTGCCTATCTCACCACCACCAAGTACTATATATGTCCCTGAACATTTTCATTTCATAACATCTTAAAATTGAAGAACCATCTCTTCCTCTTCTATCCTAACTCTCTGAAACTTCAATAACAATTTAAGTTAGTGTTCCAATTTGAGACTCTTATTTCAATATTGCAGTTTTAAACTGTGCTGTCTTTGATCGTTTCTGGACTACATGGACTTCCAAAGTGAGTGTTGAGTTGAGTAGTCCTAACAACTGTTTGATTTTGCTGTAACAGAAAGTTGTGTTAAAGGTGGAAGTACATGAAGACAAAATCAAGAAAAAAGCTATGAAGACTGTCTCTGGCACTGCAGGTATTCAATTAAATTTTAGCTTCTGAAGTTCCTCATCACTTTTTAGCTTCTCTGCTTTTCAGTGCTCTAACCAATTGAGAGAAGAAAAGAGAGGAAGTGAAAATAAAAAGGACAAGGGAAAATATTGTAATGCAGGCAAAGCTTCTTTTTCTTTCACTCAATTCAGTGAACTAGCTTGGCTGGAACTGGTTTTTGTTTCAAGAAGTAAACTCCAAATAATGTAACATCAATGATTCATTGATATGTTGTGATATTACTTAAATTGTATTTGAAATATTGCTGCAGGTGTTGAGTCTGTTTCTGTGGATATGAAAGACAAGAAATGGACCTTAATAGGGGACATTGATCCAGTACAAGTAGTTGCCAAGCTAAGGAAGTTTAGCAACACAGAAATAGTTTCGGTTGGCCCAGCAAAAGAGGAAAAGAAGCAAGAACCTAAAAAGGATGATAAAAAGATGGAAGATGGCAGGAAAGATTCAACAAAAGGAAAAATGCCAGATCCACTCACTGTCTATCAAACATGTGCCTACTATTATCATACGAAACCACAATACATGTTTATGGACTTATTTTTATGTTATAAAAAGAATTTAACGTTTCTTTAAGAGTCATACGTTTTTTTTTTAATATTATTTGTATTTTCAAGAAAGGGTTATTATTATTATTTTTTACTAAAGAAAAAGTATGTAATTTTTCTTTTATTATAAAATTTCTATTTTTTTTGCCTATTATAAAATGTTAGATTTTTATCAGTATGAATTTTTTTATAGATTTACACTCTTTTTTTATTACTTTTCGAACAAAATGATATTTTATTTCTATGTGTTTTGTTTTAGAATAAAAAGCTGAATTTCTTACAATGTGCAAGACACTTTGACTATCATACTATATAACAATTATTCAGCTTTTGTAATAGACAGAGCTACAACATCTTATATCTTGGATAACCAACTTACTAGATAATCAACTTATTGTCCCTCCTGGATAACTAACTTACTATCCCTCTGGCAATGGTAAACAACCAGTAGTAGATTTTCTTCTATCTAAATCACCTGCAAAATCTGAATTAGTATCTGACAATTGTTTTTGATCCTCCATAACATAATACAACACTTGAGGTTCTTTTTATATACCTAAGGATCCTCTTAACATTATTTCAATGCTCTCCATCAGGATTCTCCATGTGTCTACTAATCACTCTCACTGCTTGCGCAATGTCTGGTCTTGTACAAATGATGGCATACGGTACTCGAGACATCTCAATCATCTTCACTTCATTGCTAGGACTCATACTTGAGGATAACTTTTATTTGATAGGAAGTGGGGTAGAAACTGGCTTGCAATCTTGCATGTTGAAGCGTCGCAAGATCTTGAGTAAGTAATTCTTTTGAGAAAGCAAAATCTTCATATCTTTTCTGTCTCGGTGAATCTGCACCCCTAAAATTTTGTTTGCTGGTCCCAAGTCCTTCATATCAAATTCCCTAGTCAATTGTGCCTTCAATTCTTGGATTCGTGCTTTGTTGGGGCCTACCACCAACATGTCATTCACATACAACAACAATATGATGAAATCATTCTCTTCAAACTTATTATAATATGTACAATGGTCCGAGCTCAATCTGTTGTAACCAAGGCTAATGATAAAGGAATCAAATTTCTTATACCAACACCTTCGCGCCTGCTTTAGACCGTATAGAGATTTGTTCAATCTACAAACCAAGTTTTCTTATTCTTCAAAACCTTCTTATTGGAGTATATATATTTCTTCTTTAAGTTCTCCCTAAAGAAAAACAGTTTTTACATCCAATAGCTCAAAATGTAAATCAAATATAACACACATTGCAAGGACAATTTTGATTGTTGACAATCTAACAACTGGTGAGAATATCTTGTTGAAATCAATTTCTTGTTTATGAGCATATTCTTTTACCACTAATCTAGCACGATATCTTTCCACTTGATCATTATCATCTATCTTGATCTTGTAGATATATTTGCAACTAATAACTTTTCGATCCTTTGGAAGTTCCACAAAATTCCATGTCTTATTTCTTTGAAGAGCCTCAATTTTTTCTTGCATAGCAGTCATCCATATGGAAGCTTTTGAACCACTCACGACCTCTTGAAAAGTTGAAGGTTCTCCTTCTTCATTTAGGAGACAATACGCATCATGACTTGCCATCACATATTGTGAATGTCAAGATAATTTTGCTCTTTCTCTTGTTGATCGTCAGAGTTCTCCATCGCCAATCTCATTTGGCTCATGTTCTTTGTGCTCCTCCTCTAACTCAGAAGAATCTTCTAAAGGCTTCTTCTCTATCTATACTACAATTTTGTCCTTCTTCAGGCTTTCATATATTTGCTCATTTTGCAGTTCATTCTCTGCAAAGACTACATCTCTACTAACAATAACTTTGTGGGCAATGGGATCCCAAAAGCGATACCCTTTCACATTCTTAGCATAACCCAAGAAGACGCATTTCCTAGATTTTGGATCCAACTTCGTTCTTTCTTAGGTGTTGAACATCACATACACAGGACAACCAAACACATGTAAGGAAGAGTAATTAACTAATTTGTCACTCCACATCTCCATAGGAGTTTCCAGCCCAATTGTTGTTGATAGTGACTGATTTATCAGGTAACAGGAAATTTTAATTGCTTCTGCCCAGAAAGACTTGACTAATCCTGTAGTCTGCAATATAGCTCTTACTTTTTCTAGAATAGTTCTATTCATCCGCTCTGCTACACCATTCTGTTGAGGCGTATGTGGAACAGAAAATTTCCTGATAATACCTTCTTGCTTGTAGAATGCTAGAAAATCTTCATCTACATATTCTCGTTCGTTGTCTGTCCTTAAACACTTGATTCTTTTTCCAATTTCAAGTTCTACTTGCGCTTTAAATTTTTTAACCAGGCAAACACCTCAGACTTCTTCTTGATAGGGTACACACATAATCTCCTAGAGTAATCATCGATAAACGATACAAAATATTTTGCTCCTCCGAGGGACAATTCTGGTGATTCCTGTTAGTATTATGGTGCTTGATTTAGTCCCACATCGATTAGGATTGTGAGATGAGGTTCTCTATTTTGTTATATAAGCAACCCTATGTAAAGTTTGAGATATACACAGAAATAAAAATACTTCCTAGTGTAGTCGTGGACGTAGGCATACATATTTTAGCCGAACCACGTTAAAATTCTTGTGTCGTTTATTTTTCTCTCCTTCATTCTTTCCTTTATTATTGTCTTGTTTCTAACAATTGGTATCAAGAGCCAATTTTCTTAGTATGCTCGTGGTTGCAGCTTTGTCCGATCTTCCACATCGAAAAGATTTGGTCTTTTTCTTGGGAATCTCAGTTTAGAGAAGCGATGGGAGCTTTCTTCGAAAGCGGTGAGAGCAATGGCATTGGAAGAAGGAAAGGTGAGGATCGAGAAGTTCGATGGCGGTGACTTCGGGTTCCGGAAGATGCGAGATGGAAGATTATCTCGTATCGGAAGAAGTTGTATCTACCCTTGACGAGGCGAAGCCAACCGACATGGAGCGATCAGAATGGGAGTTGTTAGATCGGCAGACGCTTGGTGTGATCCGGCTGACATTAGCCAAGAATGTTGCGTTCAACATCATGAACGAGAAGACAACCGTAGATTTGATGCGAGCGTTGTCAAATATGTATGAGAAGCCCTCTGCGACCAATAAAGTGCATTTGATTCGCAGGCTAGTCAACCTCAAAATGGGTGAAGGTAACTCGGTTACTAATCATATTAGTGAATTTAATGCAATTATTGCGCAGTTGACATCGGTGCGAGATAATATTTGATGATGAGGTGAAAGCATTAATTTTATTATCATCTCTACCGGAAAGTTGGGGTGCAACTGCATTACTGCAGTAAGTAATTCCGCAAGCAATAACAAGTTGAAGCTTGATAACATCCGTGACTTGATCTTAAGCGAAGATGTTCGCAGGAAAAATTCGATAGAATCTTTCGGTTCTAATTCGAGTTCGAGCATTGAGTACTGAAACTAGAGGAAGAAGTCGCCGGAAAGGTCGTAATCAAGGCCGAGGCGAGATCAAAATCCAGAGGGAGATCACAAGCAAAAGTCCGGAATGATATCACTTGTTGGAATTGTCGGAAAAAGGGCCACTTTTCAAATCGGTGTAGGGCTCCAAAGAAGGACAACAACAACAACAAGAAGCAAGATGATGATCAATCGAGCAAATGCAACGAATCGATGAAGTTGAAGATGCACTCGTTATGTAGTTTAGATAATTCTATTGACTCATGGATTATGGACTCAGGTGCGTCATTTCATACTACACCTTCCTTAGAACTATTATCTAACTATGTTTCGGAAAGTTTGGGAAGGTCTACCTTGCGAGATGGAAAATCTCTTGATATCATAGGAAGAGGTGATATTAACATCGGAACCTCTAATGGAAACGTGTGGACTTTGAATAATGTCGGACATATTCCAACCTTAAAGAGAAACTTAATATCTATAGGGCGGTTGGATGATGAGGGACATTACACCACTTTTGGAGATGGACATTGGAAGGTAATGAAAGGTAATCTTGTTGTTGCTCGTGGAAAGAAGCAAGGATCTCTCTACATGATTGCGAGATGAGGATATGATATCGGTTGCAGAAGTTGGCAACAATTCCTCCTTATGGCATCGAGGCTTGGGCATATGAGTGAGAAAGGAATGAAGCTCATGATATCAAAAGGTAAAATACCTAACGTGAAGCATGTTGACGTTGGACCTTGCGAACATTGTATCTTTGGAAAGCGAGAAAAAGGTTAGCTTCTCAAAAACAAGTAAGTCGTCTAAAGTTGAAAGACTAGAACTAGTGCATACGAGATGTTTGGGGGCCGACTTCGGTGAAATCCCTTGGAGGTTCACAATATTATGTAACCTTCATTGATGACTCTACAAGAAAGGTATGGGTTTATTTTCTTAAAAATAAATCTGATGTGTTTTCTGTGTTTAAAAGGTGGAAAAAGGAGGTTGAGACTCAAACAGGTTTAAAGGTCAAATGTTTGAAGTCCGATAATGGTGGAGAATATGACAGTAGTCAATTCAAGGAGTTTTGTTCGAGAGAATGGGATCGGAATGATCAAGACAGTTCCAGGAACACCATAACAAAACGGTGTGGCGAAAAGAATGAACAGAACCTTGAATGAGAGAGCAAGATGTATGAGAATCCAGATCGGGATTACCCAAGGTATTTTGGGCGGATGCAATAAACACAGCGACCTATCTCATAAACGAGAGGACCATCGGTTCCTTTAGACTATAAGTTACACGAAGAAGTATGGTCCGGAAAAGAGGTAAATCTTTCACATCTGAAAGTTTTTGGTTGTGCTTCATATGTTATGTTATACTCTAATAGTAGAGATAAATTGGACCCTAAGGCAAAACGTTGTTATTTCATTGGTTATGGATCTGACATGTTTGGCTACAGGTTTTGGGATGACCAAAACAAGAAAATTATCTCAGAAGCAGCGAAGGAGATGATATGGTTGAAGAACCTTCTAAAAGAATTAGGAAGAGAACAAGATGGTTCTCCGTTGTTTAGTGACAGTCAAAGTGCTATTTGTCTTGCTAAAAATCCAATCCTTCATTCCAGATGTAAGCACATTGAATTGAAGTATCATTTTATCGAAACCTGATAAATGATGGAGACTTGAGTTTGTTGAAGATTCCAGTGCGAGAGAATCCCGTCGATATGTTGACCAAGACTGTTACAACAACTAAGTTGAGGCTTTGCATTGCCTCAACTGGCCTTCGAGCAAATTGATGATGAAGGCACTACACTAGGTGGTAACGTAAATCAAACTCCAAGTGGGAGAATTGTTAGTATTATGGTGCTTGATTTAGTCCCACATCGATTAGGATTGTGAGATGAGGTTCTCTATTTTGTTATATAAGCAACCCTATGTAAAGTTTGAGATATACACAGAAATAAAAATACTTCCTAGTGTAGTCGTGGACGTAGGCATACATATTTTAGCCGAACCACGTTAAAATTCTTGTGTCGTTTATTTTTCTCTCCTTCATTCTTTCCTTTATTATTGTCTTGTTTCTAACAATTGTTTCTAACAGTATTAAACATATACTTTGAGATAGAAGTACATATTTTTAAATAAAAAAAAAAAAAAGGGGGAGATTGTTGCAGGTAGCATCAATTGTCCTGTGACGAAGGTCAGGTGGGCCGAGTCACAATTGAATCGTGGCGCTTGGGCTGTTAAAGTAAAAAGAGTTGCGCTCTGACTAAAGGCTATAGCTTTTGGCCTAGTGGTAAGCGCTCGATCCTAACAATTGGTATCAGAGCCAAGGTCACGAGTTCGATTCCTGGTGGGCAATTGTTGAGGGGGAGATTGTTGCAGGTTGCACAATTGTCCCGTGGCAGAGGCCGGGTGGGCCAAGTCACAATCCAAGAGTGGGATACCTTGTAGGACAATTCGTCGAGGGGAGATTGTTGCAGGTAGCATCAATTGTCCTGTGACGAAGGTCGGGTGGGCCGAGTCACAATTGAATCGTGGCGCTTGGGTCGTTAAAGTAAAAAGAGTTGCGCTCGACTAATGGCTATAGCTTTTGGCCTAGTGGTAAGCGCTCGATCCTAACAATTCCTACACATCATAATGGATCAAGTCCAATCTCTGCTTACTTCGTGTAGTCATTCTAGCAAACTTTAACTTGTGTTGCTTACGTGTCACACAATGCTCGTAGAAGGGTAAATCAACCTTCTTGAGCCTGGGTAAGAGATCACGTTCCACAAGAATTTACAAACAACACTCTGACATATGCCCAAGTCTATGATGTCACATTGTCATCGTTTCTTCTTGATTTGTCGATGCAGTTGTTGCATTAGTTTCTTGTAAAGTATTTCCCATAAACACATACATATTTACCATGATCTTCTCTGTTTTCATGACTACTAAATTTCCCCTCACAGACTTCAAGATCCTATCTTCAACTTGGATCTTGCATCCAAGGTCATCCAATTGTCCTATAGACAATATATTTTTCTTCAAGTCCTTCACATGTCGTACTTCTTAAATTGTATGAATAGTACCATCATACATTTTTAATTTGACTTACTAACTCCAGGAATCTCCAAAGCATGGTCATTTCCCATGAACACGAATCTACCTGAGATTGACTCGTACTTTTGAAACCAGTCTCAATGTGGAGTCATGTGCCAAGTTGCACCTGAATTCATTATTCACTTATCATGAAATCTACTTTCACCATTTGAACTGATCGCTGCTTCGCTCACCAAAATTTATCCTTCTTCAGAGGTATTTGCAACACAACTTTATGAGGCTAGTTTTCCATTCATCCTCTTCCAACACTCTTTCTTTGTGTGCCCTTTCTTGCCACAATGGTAGCATTTGAATTTGAAATTCTTCTTATTTCTAAAGTTTGACCTGTCATGATTTTGACTCTCACTAGAGCTACGTTTCATTGATCTTCCTCTCATCATCATCAAAACATCTACTTGTTTATAATTTTCTACCTTATTCTTTCGCCAGGATTCTTCTTCTAGAGTAGTTCCGACAACATCTTCAAAACGTAGATGTCCTTCAATATTATTATTTGTTATGTTGATGATAAGTTGTTCATACGAGTCTTGTAGGCTTTGAAGTAGAAGTTTCACATGCTCATTTTCAATTATATTGAAATCTGTTGCTAATAGTTGGACAAATAAGGTGTTCAAGTGATTGGTGTGGTTCGTCATCGATGTGAACTCACTCATCCGAAGAGTGTAAAGTTTCTGCTTCAAGAATATCCTTGTGTAAAAAGACTTCACCTCATATAATTTGATGAGGGTATCTCAAATCTCCTTTGTTGTATTTTTCTCCACAACATTGGATAATACAAAATCTGTCATTATTAGGTGCAAATTCGCAATAATGTTGCCGTCAATTTGCTTCCACTTCTGATTCGTCGTTTCAACGTGTCTTCCTTCAATTGCATCTAAGCAATTGTCATTTCTCAAAAATGTCTTCATCTTCAATTTCCATAACGAGAAATTATTTTAGTTAAACTTCTATATCTTGTACTTTCCTGCCATGATTGTATATCGACTTATGCAACTTTCACTTATGAATAGTATTATCTACTGGAACAATAGTAATAAACTGTGAATTAGTACATCAAGTAAGTTCCAAAAAAAAAAGAATCAGTCACTAATGGATACGTTTAAATGTCAAGTCTTTTTTAGTCAAAACTTTTCTACACATACACCTTAACACTACTATACATTCTTAATAACTCTTTTATTAACTCTTTTATGATGTGAAAAAATAAGATTAAACTACAACTACAAAGTATATTCAGAATTGTACTAAACACTATTCTAATTACTAAGGTAATAAAATAACAACGTGACTATGATATAACTGATGGAGATAAGAATAATTGCACAAATACAATCCATATTAAAGCGCCTTAAGTGTGGAAGAAGATTTAATTGCTGTGTCATCATCTAATTTTTCGTTTTTTACTAAGTTGGATTAAAAAAATTAATGCAAAATGATATCTTCTAATGATTTAAACTGAGGGGTCGTGTGGTCAAACCAGCAAGAGTATTAATTATGGTGTGCAGGGTTGGGTTTAGTGGATTTCAAATGTAAAACTTCTGCAGAATCTTGATGTCTTTATTCACATGTTACAGCTATTGAAAAAGTAGGCTATCATTATTTTGCGAGAACAATAAGTCTCATGGTACAAGTACAATCCTTTCTTTCTAATCACGCTCCAAAAAGGTGGGAAATAAGTTTAATATGGAGAACAATCCGAAAAATAATTCATGCTGATATTACAGAGATGTTAATATATTTTTTTTAATTAAGTTAAAATTATTCTGTTAAAATATAAGTTAGGTTGGATTGGTAATTGTTTTTTACTTGTAGAGTCAAATCATACTATATTAGAATGAATCGTGAATTTTATAATCATAAACATAAAGTTTCAAATTTTTGTTTATATTATATTATTTAATTTTTCATTTGAAGGTTGTCTATTTATTTTTTTCGAAAAATAATTTGGAGAATTTGATTACGAGAGAAATCAAGATCCTTTATTTTTACTAGTGAAGAAACATATTTTACATTATAATGATATTATTAAAAAAAATAAAGATTTTTAAAAAAGTATGTGGAACAATAGAAAAAATTGATAGTATAGGGAACTATATCACTTTTGAATCATTCAATGTTTATTGGTGAATCAGTCAAAATTTGTAATAGTTATTTTTGAACGGAGAAATTTTAGCATTACTAAAGAAGTTATAGAGATTCTATCAAATAAAAAAGTTATTTAATTTGGTAAAAAAAATATTATCTAATTAAAAAATGACAAAAGAAATTATAAAATAGTATATATTTTTATATAATGGTGTTGATTAAAATGGAGATAGTAAAGAAAGAAATAGAAACAGTGTATTGTTTGGATGCATACAAATGAATAAAAGAAATTCTATTTGTTTGGATGAATGGTAAAGAACGTGAAAAAAATAATTACACGAAAAATATTTTATATGAAAAAATTAATTTTTTACTCTATTATTATTTTTACAAAACAATATTTATTATTATTTTAAATTTTGACATAGTAAAAAAAATATTAATTTTTAGCAACACTTTATAAACATTTACCATTCAAAGTAGAAGGTGCAAATGGGAGGAACAGAAATTTACAATTTTTCCATCCTTCCAAATAAAGAAAATAGCCAAAATCACGAATAAGTATTTTCTTTTTCAGATCAACCAAAAAAAGGATAGTGTCAGTGAAAGTCTTGATAAGAGAAAGTATTTGGTGAATGCGAAGTGTAGATTTTTTGTGAGAGGGTGTGAAATTTGTTGTGGAATCTAATGAATCCTTAAATACATGTAGTGATTGTGACTTTAGTATATAGTTAACATATCCCTACTAATGTTCTTTAAGATTAATTGTCATTTCGAACATTGTCAAAACGAAACATAACTTAGGATCTTTTTTAGATTGCACCCCAAAAAAAAAAATGAATACTTATAAATATGATAATAAAAAATAATACAATGACGAAAACGTTGAATTCTAGTCTTGTCGATGGTCAATGTGTGACCAACGAAGGACGCGGAGAGGAACGTACAACGAAACGTTGTTCTCATCATTCACTATGACCACTACGGATCCAAACACGAACTAACATCAAGCTTTCTAGGAAAGTTTCCAAAACGCCGTTGGCCACTTTATATGAAACTTTATCTATTTATCAAAGTATTTGCGTGGAATTGACTTGGCCCTGCCTCTCTCACAGCCATATATATATATATATATATGGCCCTCAAACTTACCTACATATCACAACTTCATTTTGGAATTGAAAAACTATCTCTTCCTCGTTCACCTATCTTTTCGATTCCCTTTCCCTTTCGCATTTTTCACCAACAGTTCTTCTATCTCAGCTCTCAGAAACTTCAATAACAATGAGGGTCAGTGTCCAAATTTCACTACTTTGAAATTCACAGTTTGATTCTCGTAATTCAGTCTGTGTTTTGTTTGGATCGTTTCTGGTTTAAATGAACTTCCGAAGTTAGTATTGAGCTAACAACTTTTTTATTTTGCTGTTAACAGAAAGTTGTGTTGAAGGTGGAAGTACATGAAGACAAAATCAAGAAAAAAGCTATGAAGACTGTCTCTGGCATTGCAGGTATTCAATTAAATTTCAGCTTCTGAACTTCCTCATCTCTTTTTAGCTTCTCTGCTTTTCAGTGCTCTAACCAATTGAGAGAAGAAAAGGGAGGAAATGAAAATGAAAAGATAAAAGAGGAAAACAATAAAAGGAAAATTTTATAATACAGGCAAAGCTTCTTTTTCTTTCACTCAATTCAGTGAATTAGCTTGGCTGGAACTGGTTTTTGTTTCAAGAAATAAACTCCAAATAATGTAACATCAATGATTCATTGATATTTTGTGATATACTAAAATTGTATTTGAAATATTGCTGCAGGTGTTGAGTCTGTTTCTATGGACATGAAAGATCAGAAATTGACCTTAACTGGGGACATTGATGCAGTACGAGTAGTAGCTAAGCTAAGGAAGTTTTGTCACACAGAAATAGTTTCTGTTGGACCAGCAAAAGAGGAAAAGAAGGAAGAACCTAAAAAGGATGATAAAAAGAAGGACGATGACAAGAAAGATTCTAAAAAAGAAATCGTCCCAGATCCACTCAAGTTCTATCAAAACTATGCCTACTATTATCAGACGAAACCACAATACAATCCGTATTACAGTGCCATAAGTGTGGAAGAGGATCCTAATGGCTGTGTCATTGTCTAATTTTATTATTGCTAAGTTGGATTTAGAAAACGATACTGAAAAGAGATTATTGTATTTGTCTTTTCCCCGTTTTCTTCTATTGATTTAAACTGAGGGATAGCTGGCCAAACCAGTGAGGTATTATGGGGTAAAGGATTAGATTTTGTTAGTTTCATATGTAAAACTTCTGCAGAATCATGATATCTTATTTGTTTGTAAGAACGAAGAAAAAAATCGACAACTGAGTAAATTTGAGTGCACTTTTAATCATATGCAAGTGATTCCTTCCAAATATTAAGTTTGTTTTTGCTTTTCGTTTTAGGCCATTAGAGGAGAACATAGGGAAACTGTTCAATTATTCTACTGTTTTTCAAATCTCAGTCACTGGGTTTTAAGAATCAACAAATAAACTGTTGATTGAATCAACAAATCAAGGATGAATGAAATGTGTGATTGGAATTGAATTTGGGTTTGTTAATTAAGTTTTTAAGTTGTGGGTGAAGAAAATTGATTAGTTCTTACTAAAAATAATCATTTTTTTTCTCTCCGAAGATTAATTATTTGATAGAGAGCGTGAGTGAAAGGAAACTAACTTTTCTATAAGTATTTTATGAGATAAATTAATAATTTAAATAATACACATAAGTCAATATTAACTTTTTTTTTTCATTTTTTAATCAGACCCAAAGTCATTAAATTTATAATTGGCTTAAATTTAATAATTTTTTACTGTCCCTTTATTGATTTATTTTATTTTCTTTGAATGTCTTGAGACAAACAACTTCAAAACAATCCTCCAAGTTCTATCTCTGTCATGACCGATAAATGAATCAAAATCTTTATTCAAACTTCTTACTTTTGCTATTTCCAATTCCATGCATCACTCACCATCATCATCAACTGTTATCTTTTGTTTTCATGTTTATTTATTAAAAACATTTGATTTTTGTTTATTTTTCTTTTTAAAATAATGAAATTTTGATTTTTGTTTATCATGACTCCCACATAGTAAATGAATATTTTATTGGATCGTTCATCTATTTATTTACTATAATATAACTCATTTTAAAATTGATTAGCTCATCACGAGGCATTGTAAGTTGGGAAGTGTTACTGAGAACCATCAAAAACTTAGTTGACTTTCTCTCACCCCCCTTTGGGTTGATCATTTGATTCTCTTTAAATATCTTCAACCAGAGCTCCAGTGCACTGAACAGAGCCATCTTGTAGCTCCTTCAAAGCACAACTCTTGTTTGGCTTTCCTTCGCAACATTCAATCAATGAATGTGAGATTTTGTAACCCCTCCAACCTTTATCTCGCTTTTTTTGTTTTTTGTCTCTCAATCCATCTATCACTCTGCTTTATCATCAACTATTATCTTTATCTTCAAGTTTACTCTCTGAGATTCACACTTTGAGATCTCGTTCCATAATTTTTTCATTCTTATATAACACTTTTTCTGTTTTTTACTCACAGAAAGTTGTGCTAAAGGTGGAACTACTAGATGACAAAATTAAGAAAAAAGCCATGAAGGTCGTCTCCAATATTTCAGGTATGAATTTCAATTTCAATCCTGTGTCTTCGTTATTTCTTAACTTTTAAGCACTCACCGAATCAAGAAAAAGAAAGAGGGAAAAAACAATGTATAGGTTACATTACATTACATGGCTGGAACCAAAGAAACTTGTTTTATAGAGAGATTATCGAAGGTTAGTTAATAATTTGAAGGTGATTATTCCAGGAGTTGAATCAGTGGCAATGGAGATGAAGGAGCAGAAATTAACTTTAATTGGAGACATGGACGCTGTGGTTATAGTGGAGAAACTGAGGAAGCTGTGTTACACCGAGATACTCTCTTTTGGACCCGCGAAGGAAGAGAAGAAGGAAAAGACTAAAGAGGAGAAGAAGCAGACACAGAACAAGAATAACAATGATAATATTTTGAAGGTCTGCGACGCCTACCATAAGCATTATCATTACTCAAGTTATGTAGAAGAGAATCCCAATGCATGTGTGATTTGCTAAGTTCATTTCAGAACATCATCATGCATGGTTGTTTGTAGTGGTGCATTTGAATATCAGCTTCCATTTCTCCTTCTTATTTTGCTGTTAATTCTTGGAGAAGAAGAGATCGAGTTATAATGAAATACTTCTTACTAGTTATTATTATATTATATCATTAATAATTATTTACATTAAATTTTGTTAAATTGATTTAAAAAAAACTATATTGAGATTTAAGAGAAATAATATTTTAATTTTAATAAAAATTGAAAAGAAGTTTATTTTATGTATAATTAATTAAGATATAAGACGAACAAAATATCAACGAAACGTACAAAAAAAAAACAGAGATGAGATATAATAAAAGCTAATGCAAAAATTAAAGTAATTAATAATTGGACTTGAGGGTTTTCAAAATATTAAATACCAAAGTAAAGTTGTAGTGAAATAATGTGTTTTGGTTAAATTATTAACTTGAGAATTTAAAAGAATAAGACTATAACAAGTTTAACGATAATATATATATATATATATATATATATATATATATATATATATATAGAGAGAGAGAGAGAGAGAGAGAGAGAGATGATTAATGATAATATTAAATACTTAAGATTATTCAGAACTTAATTTCTCTATAATAACACATAAAGAAGAATTATAAGTCACGTCCAAGTTAGTTTCATATTTAAAAATAAAAGACAAGTTTAATACATAGTTAAAATTTGACATTGTCAACTAATTAAAAAAATTATACTTAACATCTCTTTTAATATAATTATTATAAAAATTAATAAAGATATGATTCTAATAGTTTGCGATTGAGATCAATGTCATAAATAAAATATTTAAATAAAATTATATTATACATATATTATAAAATATTTTTTATTGTTATTCAATTACAAAACATTATATACATACAACCTAACTATTATATATGATTTTTTTTATCATCACTTATTATTGAATGACAATAAAACACTTTTAAACTATTAATATATATAATCATTAAACTAACTATTATTTTCTCTAAAATTATTCATTTTTGTTGTAGTTAAGAAGGTAAAAACACTGCATTATATAGGTTTATAACAATACTTTTTTTTTAAAGTAAATTATGTAAAAATATTACCTAACAATAGATTAGTTATAGAAACAGTGTAAATAGTTTCTGTGAGAGTAAGTGTAACCCTTTTTTTTTATTATTAAAATAGAGATGATTAATTTTAGATTTTAATTTTTTTAAAATTATGAATATATATTAAGTTTCTCTTCCATTTCTTTTGGATCGCATTTTCTTCTTATCTTGTAATCTCTTTTTTCATCACAGCAGTTATTGTGTTATGCCCATCACTTTTATTCTTCACCTTCTCTTTTTTTTTTTTTTTCTCGTTTATCTTTCCCTTTGACACAAATTGTCCCCAAAATGCAGATAAAATTTGTGATTACTCGTAAATTTTACTTGACAGAGTTATATTTTAAATGATTCGGATCTTCACCAACAGCTGTCTTTCCATCCTCTCTCTATAAAAAATGTTGACCAATTGAAAAACTTAACACACTGGTATCAATCAATCTTCTTTAAAAATTGGTGAATACTACTCCTTTTCATGTAATTTTAATTCTGAAACTCAGTTCACATGATGGTGATAGTTAAATTGGGTGCAAGTTGTATGATTATAGTTGGTCAATACAGCAAGTTTATGAGTACGAACTAATTAAAAGAATATCACATGCATGCATAAACAACATGTGTTTACATGTGAAAGCAAACTCGATACGATGACAAAGAGAGGGTCTAGTTTATTTGATGCATAAGCATAGTTTTGGATTCTCCATCAGTATGATGTTTGCTTAGAACTTGTTGACTCATCTTCAATAATGGATGGAACAAGGGTCAGATTAGTTGGATGTGTCTAGGTTAATGCATGATTTATTTAAATGGTCCAGTTGAGATTCTAGCTAGTTTATGTTTAGCTGGTATGATGAGATGTTGAAAGCCACATAATATGGCTTCGATTTGCTTAATAAACTATTAATCACACGGCTTTCGCGGGATGGTGAAGGGTGGGGAAAATATTAAATTAACTGAAAGTCATGTGGAGCATGAACCAAAATCATTTTGAAGAGTGATTTTGTTGGAGTTAGTAAGTTCATTCCATAATCTACGCAACTCGGATGCATTTTTATCTATCTGTGTCTGTCTTCACACCTTCAATATCAGCACCAAAAAGAAAAAGAAAAAGGCCAATAAAGTGGGCCAAGTGGCAGGAACTACCGCTTTTGCTTTCTTTTTCTTGGGCCGAGCCTAATCATTTTTCCTCTTTTGTGTTTTATTCATAAAAGACTCTGTCAAATGTAACATAAGGTGTAGAAAAGATGTAGAACAACACAGTCACCACCAATTTACAACTGGAACTGAAGCTACTCTTACTCATATACTCTTGTGATTGTTACAAGTCTGACTAGTTTTTGCTATTCAATATAAATTTTCTGTTACATGACTTCTTCTCATGTACAGAAAATTGCACTGACTTATTTCATGATAACCCTATCCAAATTGCATAATCACGGGAGCATAGAATGCCCTTTATTTCTTTAATATTCTTCTTTCCTAGCTTTTTGTCAAAGCTCGCAACAAGAATCTAACCGACCACAGGGACAAGATGTACTTTTCTCCTCTACAAGTTTCCCGCTACTAGGCACTGGCCACCATACATAACCAAAGAAGGTCACCAATATATACGACTCTATCAACATATAGGTTTGAAGTCCAACATGGGAAACTGCTTCTTTGGGGCCATGTCAGAGCCTGATGCAGCCATCAAAGTGATAACATCAAACGGTGGCATCATGGAATTCAGTGCTCCAGTAACCGTGAGTTTCATCACCAACGAGTTCCCAGGGCATGCCATATTCAGAAGCCACGACCTCTTTTGGAAACCACTCAGCCAATTCGAAGAGTTGGAGGCAGGCCAATCTTACTATCTGCTACCACTCAGCAACAACAACAACAACAACATAGATGCCCCATGTGATGTTGGTGTTGGTGAAAATGTAAACGTTGTGAGACAAGGGCATGTTAGATCTCACAGTGTTCCTACAACCTCCTACCCTGCCTTGTATAGAATGTCCTTGGACTACCAGCACCACCAACAGGGGATGGGGTTGCTGAAGAGATCCTCCATCGAAGCCTTCTCTAGCAGAAGCAGTGGTAATAGTAGCTGCAACATTGGCGGTGGTGGTGGTAGCGGTAGGTTTTGGAAAGTGAAGCTTGTGATCACCCCAGAACAGTTGCTTGACATTTTGGCACAAGAGGCTCGCACGAAGGAGTTGATAGAGAGTGTAAGGATGGTAGCAAAATGTGGGGTTGGTGGTGGTATTCCATCTTCAGCTGCAGGTATGATTTCTGATCAGTGGAGCCTTTCCAGCACCAGTTGGAGCATTTCCTCTAAGATTGATGCTTTAGTAGGCATTTAATTAGTACATAGTAACAAATAATTGTAGCAACAAATTACTTTGTCTTTTCGTCTCTTCCCTTTGGTTGCTTCCTCCCATTGCTTCTGTATGCATGCTTTGTATTTTGTTTCTTTTTTAAAATTCAATATATAGATTCACTCTTTGACACATCAAATTGCAGAATTTCTTGGCATTTGTTGTACACCAGTGGTAGTGGCACGTTTTGCTAAAATCTTTAGGTTTTAAGAAGAATACCAAGTCACATAACTAAAAGTGAGAAGTTCTTAATTAATTACGAATGGTATCATATAAAAAATAATTTTGAACTGATAAACCAGACAGTAATGATTGGCATTATCTGCAAATTCACGTCATTCACATAGCGACACCGACACCAATTTATTTGCGCACCAGAGAACTTTCAATCAAGATAATTGTTAGAATTTACAGGTATCACTAGGGAATAAAATGGGTTTAAGCACAGTATAAAAGGATACCAAAGAAATGGAAAATAAAGTGCTTTACTTTCGTTCTCCACCACTTTTCCTCCGTAAAACACTCTACTTCTTTTCTGTTTCTACCAAAGCCCATTATTCATGGGAAACTTGTTACAGGGAGAAAAAATGTGCACCATTATTCAAAACAGACCCAAACATCTAATAAGAAAGATAAAAGAGAAATATGTAGCATGAAGTATAATATAATATAATATGATGTGACAGAAAAAAAAAAAAAACTGATGATGTATTTACGTTGTAATTTACATTGTTTTCTATTTAGTTAAAGTTAAATGACAAAAAGTATAATAAGAAGTCATGACGTTGGGCCTACCTAGAGGCCCATGCCATAAAAGATCTTATCAGATCTCCTTCGCTGTTTTCCTTAGTTTACTAAAATTATATATATTACAAATAAATTAATCCTCTAAGCTTTAACATTTTTTTTATTTTTTTACATATTTTGGGAAACCAAAAGAAAAATCATTTTGTACCTTCATTATAATTTATTATTAGATTAAATGCATTTTTAAATTTTTGGAATTTAGATAATAATATTTTTAGTCTTAACATCCAAACCCAATCATACAATCCCTCGATTCTTCTTCTTTCTACCGTTCTTCACAATTCTCTCCTAAACAACAACTTCAATGGCTGTCACCAACAAAGACGAGATCATCGGCACCAATGCATCTTCTTCTCCGATATTTATATCTACAGAGAGCTTATGCACCATCCTCACCCATAACACTCTGATAAACCACTTCCAATACACACTCCCCCAAGCCTCAACCATTCTCCAAACCCCAATTCGCCAACATTACTCTCTCTCTTCTTCTTCCTCCCTTCTCCTCATGCCCTCTTGGTCCTCTTCCCCCTCTCTCCCTTACGTCGGCGTCAAACTCGTCACCCATTTTCCGCAAAACTCCGCCCTCAACTTACCCGGCGTGCAGGGAAGTTATGTCCTTTTCAGTTCCACAACTGGCCAAACCCTAGCTTCCATGGACTCCACCGAACTCACTCTATACCGAACCTCGTGCGTATCTGGCTTGGCTTCCAAATACCTGGCCAGACATGACAGCCAGGTTCTTGTTATGGTTGGTGCCGGTGCCTTGGCACCGCACCTGATTAAAGGCCATCTTTCAGCCGTACCCAGTGTGAGAAAAGTCGTCATCTGGAACAGAACTGTGGAAAAGGCAACAACTTTGGCCGACAAACTTAAGGAAAGTGGGGAATTTGCTGGTGTGAGTTTTGAGGGTTGTGGATGTTTGGACGAGGTTGTCGGATTGGGGGATATTGTGAGTTGTGCCACAAATTCCGAAACACCCCTTGTGAAGGGTGGGATGTTGAAGGGTGGGGCTCATTTGGATTTGGTGGGTTCCTTCAAGCCTTCGATGATGGAGTGCGATGACGAGGCCATAAGGAGGGGAAGGGTGTTTGTGGACAATGAGGCTGCTTTAGTTGAAGCAGGGGAGCTGGTGGGGGCTTTTGAGAGAGGGGTCATCAAGCAAGATGAGATTGAAGGGTGTTTGGTGGAGCTTGTGAGAGGTGACAAGGTTGGGAGAAGCAGTTCTGAGCAGATAACTGTGTTCAAGTCTGTTGGTTCTGCTGTTGTAGATATGCTCGCTGCGCAGTTGGTGTTTGAGACTTATACGAGGAGCTAGGTACACCACACTGTTGGGTGTGATTGTGCTTAATAGTTCAATAAGATTTATGAAGTTTTTATACAATAATATACTAGTAACTGTGACTTAAAGCTGTTATCTTACAAAGGGGCTAATTTGGTACATGTCCATGAATCCTGTCAACTATGGCATTGCAGCTCTTTTCTCATTTACAAATTCCCAAAGACTTTGGGAGTTATTAGCCATCTTGTTGGCAGTGTCAATCAAATATTGAATGATTTAATTAGAAGTGTCACTTTATGCCTTACTTACATGGGGAAATTGCATTATGACATGTTCTCAGTGCATGGAACATGTCACAACTCACTCTAGAAGTGAAACTTTCAACAGGTTTTGTAACTTCAGAAACGGTGTTTTTCTCCTTCGATCATCTTATCAATCCTTTAAACATAACTTGGGAATGGATCCTCTCAGAATTTTAGCACAATCATTCCATATTTTAAGTTTTGTATCCATCTCGTTCTCCATAGAAATTAAATCGGTGGAACGATACATATTAAAATTTTGTATATTTAAGAAAGGAAATAAACACATTTCACATTATATGGTTATCTGAAAAATTAATGAGAGGATTAATTACTTACATGGTGCATATACGAATAGAAAGATTAAAAGCACCAATATGCAACTCTACTAGCTGCAATTTATCTTCTAAAGTCAGGCATCTCAAGGTGTTGTCGTCAAACTACTATAGACAGATGGCCACATAAATACAATGGTGCCGTTTCAGAAGGAAAGGATGACAGCTGAGTAAAATGTATTCAGAGGTAAACGTTGTTGGTGTTTAGAGGTATAGTGCATGCCATGAGGGCATATGTAACAAAAAATTCAAATATAAAGAAATTAAACTTCGTATTACGAAAAAAAATGTCAGCATTTGGACTTGAGTTCCTGAACAAACACTTGGAAGTGACTAACCAAATCAAGTGATTCCTGTAATAAATTCAAATCAAGTATGTAATGATCAACTACAACAGCATACATTTGTATGAGAATATATATGCTTGCTCACAGAAACTGTTATGGTTTATCGTCAATTTGATTCATTCCCATATTTATGATATTCAGCTGGTTGTTTTATCGAAAACTGTTCCTGTGCATGTTAACCGGATATAGATTTTAGTTCTTTTATATCTTTTCTTTGTTTTGTTTTGTTTTTTATAGTTAATATTAGTTTCTTTTACTTGGGTACTATATATATTCAAGTCTTCTTTTTGTTATAAATAAATGTGAATGAAATAAATATTTTGGCCTTCTCAGTTTTTCTTTTCTCTATTCTCATTTACTAGTATGGTATCAGTTTAATTTGTTTTTGCTACTCTTCCCCTCTTCATGGTCACTCCTTCATTCGATCATCTCACCAACCCTTCTCACTCTCTGATTCTTCATCCGGGGAGAAAATCACGCTTTAGTTCTTGTTTTCCCACCTCTTGATGACAGTAATTACCATCAATGGAAACACGATATCTTCATTGCTCTTGAGATCAAAAACAAGAAAAAATTCGTTCTGGGTACTTTTCCTTGTCCTAAGTCCACTGATCCTCTTTTTGAAGCTTGACGTCGATGCAACAAGATGGTCATTGCTTGGCTTACTCATTCTATGATGGTTGAGATCAAACAATCGGTCATATGGATGGACATTGTCGTTGATATTTGGTCTGATCTTCTTCAAAGGTTTTTCCATGGCGACAAACTTCGGATAACTGATCTTCAAGAAAAACTTCAAAATTGTAAACTGGGTGGTGATTCTTCTGTTTCTCAATTTTACACTCGTCTTCAAATATTGTGGAAGGAGTTGTCGTTGTATCATGTTGTTCTTTCATGTTCTTGTTCTTCTCCCTGTTCTTATGAGTTGATTTCCAAGATTCAGAAAGAACGTGATGATGATTGTGTTATCAAGTTTCTTCGTGGTCTCAATGACGAGTACTCTAGGTCCGTTCACAGATCATGCTTCTTGATCTTATGCCTTCTCTGGTGAAAGTCTTCTATCTTGTTCTTCAACAAGAACGTGAATTTGGCTCCTTCTGCTTATCCTTCATATTCTTTTGCGAATGCTGTTACTTCTGAAAATCCTAGTAAACCTACTCGAAGTGGTTCTTTTAATTCTCGTGGTCGTGGTCGATTTACTAAATCTGGAGGTCATACTAACAAGTTTTTTTACCATTGTCATAGAACCAACCACACCTCTGACAATTGTTGGATAAAGCACGGCCTAGCCCCAAATTATCAACAAAACAAACCTAAGTCTACTCTTCCAAAATTATCTGCTAATGCTATTGATACTAATTTCACTCCTCCTATGGACGCTTCTGCCACTACGGAAGACTCTGCTAATGTTCAACATGGTTTTTCTAAAGAGCAATATGATATCATTCTCGCTTTGATCCAACAGTCACAACAAACATCTTCTAAATCTCCTACTGTTCATTAATGCATCACTAATACCTCAGGTATTTCTTTTTCTTCTACTTCTTGGATAATTGACAATGGGGCCACTTATCACATATGTCCCTTTGAATCTTCTTTTCAAAATTTAAAACCTATCTCTCCCATTACCACATTCTTACCAAATAAGTGCTTTGTTACTGCAACTTTTTTCAGCACTATTATTTTAGGCAATATTGTTCTACATGATACCCTTTTTGTTCCTGATTTCAATGTCCAATTACTTTCCATACCCAAATTAATTAGTTCTACTAATTGTTTAGTCACATTTTATCAAAATCAATGCTTCATACTGCAAAAAAATACCTATCAGACGATTGGAGTAGCTAGGAAACATCAAGGCTTGTTTTATCTTACCAGTAATTGTGATCCAAGTCTGTCAGAAACCAATATTAATTCTTATCGTTCTTTGGTAGTTAACAATACTGATTCATGTATATTATGACATATGAAATTGGGACATCCCTCTAATAAAATCTTAGAAGTTGTTGCTTCTCAATATTCTGATTTTACCTATTCTCCTATTAAACCTTGTGATGTGTGTGCCTATGGAAAACAAAAACGTCTCCCTTTTCAATCCAGCATCACTAAATCAACACAATTTTTTGAACTTATTCACGTGAACATATGGGGACCATTTTTCATAACCTCCCTTGATGGATACAAGTATTTTCTAACTATAGTTGATGACTAGCATATTTACTTTGATTCTTTTTCTTAAAACCAAAGCTAGAGTTAAAAACTCTCTTCAAAATCTTATTTTACTAACTGAAAATCAGTTTTCTTGCAAGCTAAAGAAAGTAAGATCAAACAATAGTAAAAAATTTATTTTACCTGACTTTTATTCTTCTAAAGGCATTATTCATGAAACCTCTTGTGTGACTACCCCTCAACAAAATGACATTGTTGAGAGGAAACACTAACATCTTTTAAATGTTTGTAGAACTTTTCTTTTTCAAGCACATATGCCTTCAATATTGTGGTCCTACTCTCTTAAAATTGTTGTTCATATCATAAATTGCTTACCCACACTGTTTTTGCAAAATAAATCTCCATATGAACTTGCTCATTCTACTAAACCAGATTTTTCTAATCTAAAGATTTTTTGTTGTTTATCATATGCTAGTACCAATCTTGTTGGCCGAACAAAGTTGGATCTCAGAAGTACAAAATGTGTCTTTCTTAGATATAAATTTGGAACCAAGGGTTATCTTTTATATGATATTCACTTAAGATCTGTTTTTGTTTCTAGAAATGTTATTTTTCATGAAACCATCTTTCCATACACTTCTATAACAACACAATCTGATTCTACTTGTTTTGATATTTCTATTTCATCCCAATATAACAGTTTGTTTGATCTTAACGTCCCCATTTCATCTGACATAGTTTCCTCTCCTACTTCTATCACATCTGATATTGTTGCTGAAAGTTCTGAGATTATTGTCTCTAATATCCGTACTTCTACACGGATCAAAAACAAACCAAGTCACTTAAAACATTACTATTGTGGTTCTGCTTCTCATTTGCTTTCTTCTTTCTCTACCCCTTATCCCATACATCATTTTGTTTCTTATGACAAATGCTCATCTAACAACATTTCCTTTTGCAACAATATTTCTGCCCAATCTGAGCATCTTTCGTTCAAAGAAGCTGCTCAAAGTGAGTGTTGGACTAAAGCCATGGATGTTGAACTATTTGCTCTCAACAAAAACCATAACTGGACATTAGTACCTCCTCCTCTTGGTAAGAAACCCATTGGTTGTAGATGGGTCTATATAATCAAACACAAACCAGATGGTTCAGTTGATAGATACAAGGCTCAGTTAGTGGCAAAGGGTTTTACCCAAACTGAAGGTATAGATTAAAGTTGTAAAGTTAACTTTTGTTCGCATCATTCTTGCGCTGGTTGCTGCTAAAAATTGGTTTATCCACCAACTTGACGTTGATAATGTCTTCCTATGTCTTCCTACACGGTGATTTGAATGAAGAAATATACATGAAGCCCCCTCCTGGATTATCTCTTCCCAACCCAAAGTATGTTTGCAAGCTTCAAAAATCCTGATATGGTCTCAAACAAACTAGTAGAAATTGGAATCACAAGCTCATTACTGCTCTTCTCACTTTCAGATACTCTTAAAGTAGTGCTGACCATTCCCTTTTTGTCAAAATCACATCTTCCTCCATTAATGTGTTACTGATTTATGATGATGACGTGTTTCTTAGTGGCAATACATTGTCTGAAATACAACTTGTCAAAACTCACCTTCATGTTCAGTTCAAAATCAAAGATTTGGGTCCTCTCAAGTATTTTCTTGGGTTTGAAGTTCTTTGGTCCTCAGCTGGTCTCCTCATTAATCAATGAAAATATTGTTTAGACCTCATCTCTAAAGCAGGTCTCCTTGGTTCAAGCCTGCATCTACTCCATCCGATCCTTCAGTGAAGTTACATGCTGATGAAGGCCCTCTTTTAATCCTTTCTCTTATTGTCGTATCATTAGTAGATTATTTTATCTGACTCATACACGGCCTGCTATTTCTTTTGCTGTCCAACAACTTAGTCAATTCATTTCCTCACCATGTGAGCCTCATATGCAACAAGCCATGCGTATTTTAAGGTTTTGAAATAATGCTCCTGGACTTGGTCTTTTCTATAAATCTGCCACTGATTTGAAACTTCAAGCCTACTCTAATTCTGATTGGGCTTCCTGCATTACCACCCGTCGTTCTATCTCTGGTTTCTGCATTTTTCTTGGAACTTCTTTAATCTCTTGGAAATCCAAGAAACAAACCACAGTTTCAAGATCTTCTTCGGAGGCTGAATATTGTGCATTGGCTTTCCTTACTTGCGAGTTACAATGGCTAAACTACATCTTTCAAGATCTTCATCTTTCCATTCCAACACCTTATACCACCTTCTCTGACAGCAGTTGTGCCATTCAAATAGCAAAACCCTACCTTTCATGAAAGAACTAAGCATGTGGAGATTGACCGCATCTCATCCGATAGAAGCTCTTGGATGGTCTCATTCATCTTTTCCATATTCCTTCGGCCAGCCAGCTTGCTAATGTCTTCACAAAGTCTCTTTATCCTTTTCCTTTTTATGTTGTCACTTCCAAACTTGGCCTCCACAATCCTTACGTCCAGTTTGAGGGGATTGATAGAGATTTTAGTTCTTTTATATCTTTTCTTCTTTTTTGTTTGTTTGTTATAGTTACTGTTAGTTTCCTTGGCATGGGTACTATATATATTCAAGTCTTCTTTTCGTTATAAATCAATGTAAATGAAATAAAGATTCTGGTCTTCTCATTTTTTTCTCTTCTCTGTTCTCGTTCACTCACAACCACTGTCCAATTTTGAAGTTGGTATTAGATCTATTTGGTTGAATGGAACGAGGCAACTTTAAATATCAAGTTACTGAAATCCAGCCCCACTTAAAATGTATGTAAAAACCATTTAACTATGACAGTAAAGAAATTCCTTGAGAAACTATTCCACAATTTATGCAGTACCTTCACTTGTATATCCTTCAATTTCCGCGGGGAGATCGAGAGTGCTTGTGTAATATTTTCTTCACCAGCTTTCAGACGAGAGATGATTCTGGAAGCTGTGTTTGATAGCGTTTGATTGAGCTTTTCATGCTATCATCAGAGTGCCAAAATCAGAATTAGCTGTCTTCTTTTCCGGCTAAATAATCATGTTAGCATTAAGTAATGTATCCAGATTATGATTTTGAACACCAGCTAAGCATTTTATTTCTAAAATTTGCCTAAACCATCAAATAATCTCTTGCATTTCTGTATCACTTTGTTAAAAACCAAGTTACCGTCATGTTAAACATTGAACAATTAATTGTGGAATCTCAATGCAGTACGTAAGCCTTGATTCACCTGAGGATCTCCACTCAATAAGGGCATGTTTGTATTTTGTAGTCCAACATAGAAATGCATCATTGAGGCAAAAATGTGATTTTTAAAGATCCAAGATACTTTTTGCCAAAAAAAATTTTTGTGGTAAGGTGATGGAGGCTGGCAATGAACAAAGAGGAGCTCTCAATCTGAGGAGTGGTTAATGGGTTTGTGTCATATCAGTTACATAACTTACTTCCTAATAAGTTTACACCAGAGAACATGGGGGAACAAATTCTATGATAGATATCTCAAACAGGGACCTAGATTCCTTTGTAGGTGCTCCACCCATTATAGTTGTTCTGCATTCTAGTGACTAGAAATGTAGAATACGAAGCATGAAAGTATCATCTCTTAAAAGTATTTACAGTGCTGAAGCTTTTATAAAGGGGTAGATGCGTTTAGTGCATGAAGCTTCCACGAAATGATGTCAGAGGAAGGTAAATACGTAAAAAGACCGTTTCCAGAAGTTGAACATGTGACCTCAGTACCTTACTATTGCGCCAAAGCCCACCCTCCTTGATACTAAATTTTTGCAGGGAAAAAAAATAAAGCATACACAACTTTTGGGTTGACTTTTGAAAGGTAAAAGTTCATTACTTTTCAATTATTAGTCTATCATTGTCAACTGTGAAATATTATAAAATTGTAAATATACTAATGGAATGAAATGTTGGATGTGATACTGATAGATGGGAGAGGAAGCAGATTCGACGTGTCATTTGTCAGTTTATTGCATAACTAACCTAAAAGCAAATTTCTAAGTAAAAAAACACTATCAATGAATATGAACATAGTGCAATCCTTTGTATATCCATGTTTGCAGCATTAAACTCAGCAGATTTCCACGTGCTGATAGCACCTGAACTTTATCCATCTCCCAGTTTCTAATTTTTTTCTCATTCAAGAGAAAATCACTATTTTCAATGTTCCACGACTCCACCGGTGCTGCTTTAATTTTTGTAAGTGATCTTAAATTGAGAACATCACCATTAATCACATCAAAATTTTCTCCTACTTTGAATGGTTTTGCTTGCGTCAGAATTACTGAACTGATTGGTTGGTGAGTGTTCTGTATTATGTGCAAGCCATTGGATCTAACTATGAATCATAGGTAGGTTATTTACTCCAAAAATAAACAAACCAGAAACCAGAGCACACTTTTTTTTTTCATTTTTTTTTACTTATTCATCTCTAAGGTGCCATCATACTCCTTATGATGAACTTCCAACCACCAATATTTACCATGCCGGATGTTTAGTCAAAATGCATGAAGCTTCCTTTCCAGCTATACAGTTAATGATAAATGTATATAATCCTCAAAAGTACATTGACAACAAAAGATATTAAGTTCAGAACAAGGTCAGTCTCTTCATCCTCTACATCATGTCATTCTTATCATGGTCAGTACAACTCCAAGATCATATCCACGTATGTATGTCATCCACACTAACTATAAAGTGCTACAAGGTACAAAGCAGACTAGCCATTACAAAGCTGGAATTACATAGGAAGAGAAGCAAGCTTTGCAAAGCACAAATAAAAACGTGACATTAGAAAGAAAAAGATGATAGAAGACAAATAATGAATCCAGTGTTTGAAATCAAAGATAAACAAATATTGCAAGATTCACATGAAAATTAATGATGTGTGGTATTTGTTCTGAATTTGTGAAAAATGATTCTGCAAAATCTAATCTCTGTGGAAGGCCTCTAGGAATGCATGCATTATCTTAACGTGGCTACACCACAAAGTTATGTTGTGACTTGTGAAGTCACAGCGCTATTATTGTTTTTCAACTCTAATGTAAGATAAAAAGTGTTGACAGATAGGAAAGTAGTGCCTATCTTTCCACTACTAAATGATAATGATCTTGCCTTCGGTTAGTTTCACCTGTATCGGTCAAATAATGAAAATCTGGCCAAATAACACTTTCATGATTTTCATCATTGGCCAAGTCCTTTCGCCAAACTCACTGCACACAAACTGGGATATACCAAACTCATCACATTTCTTTGTATTTTTTTTTTTGTAGCTTTCACGAATTGCCCAGTTGTGACTTACTGGTTTCTGCATGTTATTGGCTATGATGAAAAGAAGTGTGTGAAACATTGGGTGATAGTTGAAAAAGAGGTTAAAATAGATTTGCATTAAAAAGAAGAGGAATCAAATAAGAGAGTATCATTTGGAGGATCTCCATTTCAGATCAGGGTGTCCTCTTTCTTCCCACCCAAAAAGCCTCCTTTTTGCTGGTCTTTAGGCAGCATCACTTCCTAGTTTCTGAGAAGAAGTGGGAGTATATTTAAAGAAGAAAAAAAAAAAAAAAAGCAGTGACGCGAGAAAATTTGTTCATGATTAATATATTCTTCAAAATAGTTGTTGTAGAGAAAAATTTGATGAATGTATCATACATAACAGTTTGTAATTGGATGACATAATAAAAGTATAAAGTGTATACAAATATTTTATTTTTAACTTTGGTGACCGTACTTCTTAATATTAAAATTAGAATAATAAGAAGTCGACATTTTTAATTGAATCTGAGATATGAATTGTGAATATATAGATACGATTCTCTACCATTCACTTCATTTCTTTCTTATTCATATTTAAATGATATAATATTTTACAATTGTTTTCTTTCTTTATTTTATAGAATTACGTCAATTTTAAAAAAACTAATTATTTAATATATTTTTACAACTATTAATATTTTAATATTTATTATATTTTACATTTACAATTTATAGTAATATAATAATAATAATAATAATAATAATAATAATAATAATTTGTATTAATTATTTTAAAAAAATATTATTATTGATGAACTTATATATTTTATAAAATTTGGTTAGAAACTCTCAAATCTTCTCTTAATCTGTTTAAAAAATGGGTGAAAACTGTAAATCAAAAGCAGTTTTTGTTGGTGTAATTTTTAACTAATAGTTATTATAAAATTGAAGAAACTATTAGAAAATATAATTTTCTTTTCCATCCCTTCTTCCTGTTTAGACATCGAAATGGTGGATGTTCGGAATAAGATGACACGTGTGCGTTGAGTGGAAAGTAGTATCTGTCTTTAGTTAGTGGTCGAATGCCCAAAGGAAAGGAACAAGGATTCCAATTTCTCAAAACCACCTATCCAAAGTGGAAAATTTTATATTTACTTTTACTAATTTCTACTTTTTTTACTTTGTTGCTAAAATCCCATTTTTTATGTATGGAGTTTTTTTTTGTTTTTTTAAAGTAACTAAAAACAAGGTGTAAATCTCCATCATAAAGTAAATAAATTTTAATTCTATCAATTTTTTTGAACTAGAAAAAAAATACTTTTAAGTTATTTTTTGTAAAAACCTTTTTGTATGAACTTATTCAAATTAGGCTTTTATTTTATATATAAGTTAGTTTTTGTTTACGGGAAATATCTTTTTTTTATAAGTTATTTTATATTTGTTACAAATTTTAGTCATTAATTTACTTAAAAATTTACTTCATTCTAATATTTTAAACCTTTTATAGAATGAATCATTTTAGAAGAGTCAAATCACTACATTCTAGATAAAGTAGGTGCCAATTACACATTTTGGTATTTAGCGTGATTCATGAACATGTTCTTATCTACAATGTTGTAAAGAAAATTGTGTTCAACTTAAAAGTCAACTGGGACTAAACTTAAATTAAGTCATATAATTTGTTTTTCAAATAAACCTAACTCTTTTTTAAAGAATTTAAGTTACAAAAAGTCGAGTTTATTACATGCAAATTTTCCAGTTTTCTTTTTTTATTTTAACTTATATACTTAAAAAGTCTATTTATGTTAAAATAAAACCTTTAAACAAATGTAACCACATGCAATAATAGACTGATAGATAAGTAAAAAAAGTATGAAAACAAAATATACAGATTAATTATTACTGTTTAGGACATGAAGCTGAAGGAAAACCATGAAAATAACAATCTGAGTGGGTAAAAAATTGATATTAAATACAAATTGTAGACGAAAAAATAGGAATCAAACGAATGAAACTCCTTAAATTAGTATTTTAATCTCTTTTTGTTTTTTTTTTAACGAATCTTTTAAAATTTAGGGTTTAATGTCTTCTTATGTAAATAATCATTGTAAAATATTTTAGGATATTAAACTCACCTTAGTAACCATAAACAAACTCTTTAGTCCAATAGAGTCTTCCCTATTTTTTTCTACCAATGTGTTGATTCAATAACAAGACCTAATAACATTTTCTTCTGAAAAATTCTCAAAAATAGACTTAACTTTACCAAAACATAGGATTCACTAGACGAGACATCTAATTTCAAATTCTTCCTATTAATACTATTAACTTCAAATATAAATTTCTAATTAAATGCACCTAGACATGAGAAAATAAATCATTCTTTCTTCAAAACATCCTTATTATATATATATATATATATATATATATATATATATATATATATATATATATATGTATATATATATATATATTATTATTATTATTATTATGAAGGGAAAACAATAAGTTTACTCATGGTTCTGTCTCTTGGATATTGAAACCATCTCATTCATTCAATATTTTCAAACATTTTATACTTTTTTTTTTCAATAAAATAAAATGAAATATTTTCAACGACTATGATTCCATGCAGTAAAAATGACTGCATACATTCCAAGCATATATACATTCATGGAAAATCTCCCCAATCTGTACGAACAGAAAATGATTGAAAATCTCAGTCAATATTGTCAAGTTATTGTTTAATCCATAACGAGTTGAAGCATATATATATATATATATATATATATATAAACTCAATGCTTGCTCATAATATTGTTTAATCCAGATTCTTTTATTATCTGAAAAATCCAAACACTAGTTCACTAGGTTAAGCCATATGAGGGAATTCCAATGTGTTCATGTTTTTTCATGTTCCATCGTTTTTCTTTTTCTTTAACTGCAGTTGATAATATAAGCTAAGGAGGTCTAAAGTTTAACCCAGAGAAGTGCAGAGGCCACTGAATATTCCACAAAGTATTAAATATTTTGTCCATTTCTGGTTGAAGTGGACTTTGGTCACAGAGGTGAGAATGATAGTGTGAAGAGAAGTTTTGTAGGGTATTCCATTGACCGAACCTGCCAACCAAACACGTACCAATTAATGGAATGAACAATGAAGAGCAATCGTTGAAAGATTTCATTCTTTTACCTGAAAATTTTGGACCCCTCCCACAACCAAGGGCAGAAAATAATGGGTTTGCATCAGATTTCATAGTGGTGGTCCCTTTCAAAACTCCCTTTGTTTTCACTCAAGCTTAGCTTCTTCAAGGTTCACACCAAAAAACAAATAAAAGCTTCCTCGAGGTACCATCTTTGCTTCAAATACTTGTTGTATCTTTTTAAATTTTTAATAGTTACTGCTATCAGTGAAGAATTTTCTGCACACCAAAGTACATGCATACACACAGTTTCATCGGTGGATCCACTCCACTCACTGTCATCAAAGATGCCTAAGAAATAATTGTCAATTCATATTCTCATAGTGGTTTCTAGTAGCTAGTAATTTTGATACTGACCTATGCCCTGTAAACTAATAACACGTTAAAACCACTCTTTTCTACTCTCACCATTTACTTTCCATTTGGTCAACAGATATATTATTTTTTATTCTCTCCTTTGGTTCCTCATTTTTCAAAAGCAATAATATAAATATTAAAATGGTTTTTTTAAGGAGCCTAAAAAATATAAATTCAAAAATCTTTTGAAAATTCATTTTACTGATAATAAATAACACTAAATGGACTTGTTTGAAAATTTTTATTTTAAAAATGTGAAAATTGGTCAACTTGTACTATATATTTTTAGTACGATTTGGTCATTTCGTTTAATTTTGATCTACACCCTTTCCATTGTCAACTATTGGTCCCTTTTCTAACCAGTTAAAATCTCAGCTTTTGTTGGGCTCAGAGAAGAAGAGAGTGAGGTAAAATAAATAAATAAATAGAAATTAAAATTATTTAAGTTAATAAAATAGGAAAAATTAGTAAAAAAAAATATATTTGATTTGATTGATTTAAAATATATAATTAAATAAATAGAATGAGTTTGTGGATAAGAAAAGAAAAATCCAAGCATTCACATTCTAATGCAATATTTTAAATTTGTGTAATTGGAATTCAAACTTTAATCCAAGTTTGAAAATTTTAATGAATAATTGTACAATTGAATACTTTGCCCGACAAATTGGAAACAAGTATCAGAGAAAATCCATACCCCTTTATTGCAGATTTTTTTTTTGTTACAATAATACATGTTTTCTAAGCATTAACGACAGACAACTATTTAATGTCTTAAAAATACCGAGTGGCTATGTCTATGTACATAACTTATTCATTCAAAATTTGTTAAAAATACCACAAACACAAAGAAATTTGTTATGTTATAAAGTGAAAAAAAGGAACTTTTTATGCGATGTTTAGTAATTAACAGAAATATTTTTTTCCTTTAATTAATATGTGAGAAAGAATCTATCACTGCCAAAATAACTAAAAAGAAAAGTTAAATTATAATTTTAAATATTTATTTGCAAATTACAATTTTTTATATTTTTATCGTCAATAAAAAATAAATTTTCAAAAACCTTTTAGAGCGAAATACAAAGAAGAAAACACAACAATTGATTATTAATTTATAGATTGTATCCAACTTTTTTATAAATCATAAAGTTTCACTATTTTCAGTTGACTTATAACATTTTTTTATTTTTTTTCCTTAAAACACAACGTGTTTTTTCAAATATTCTTTCAATTGTTTTTCTGAGTAATGTATCCTTTTTTTTTATTCTTGTCCAAAACAATTTTTTACTCAAGTAGATCCCACAAGTTTTTTAACCTGTTTGAAATTTATGTTCATGATGTCCACATAGGGTCTGTGAAGACATTAATCTGAACTTCTATAAATGAATATATATATATATATATATATATATATATATATATATATATATATATATATATATATATATATATATATATATATATATATATATATATATATTGCACATGCAACTTCATGTACAGATGAACCATTCATTTCTATATTTAAAGAGTTCTTTGATTTGTAAATATCAAGATTAAATGTCTGTAACTATCATTCTTCCACAGAAATATATTTTCTATATTTCATTTATATTTTAAAAAATTAACATTCAACACCATTTTAGTGTTAGAGGATTATTTTTGTTTTTTTTTTCAAACCCAAAGATCATATTTATGGCAACTATGATTATTATGTATGACTAAATTTTAGTTAATCGATTTAAAATATTATTAGAAATGTAAATAATGGGTTGATACATTTTCTCAAAATAAAAAGAAAAGTAACATATCATGTTTTTTAAAGATTTAATTTTTTTTACTACATTAAATGATGATTTAATAAAGGTAATATGATATATATTTTTAATTATTCTTATCTTAATTCAAGAAAGTTAGATTTACAACTTTTTTTATAAGAATGATTTTGTAGGAAACTAAATCATTTTTAAAATACTATTTCCTAATAATATCAACGTGTTTGATATTATAAATGATTTTTTTCATCCGAAATCATGGGAATTAGGAATCTTGAGAATTATTCAACTTTGTTTATTTAAATAAAAACATTTATTAAAATTATTCACTTAATATTATATTTAATTATTTAATAAGATATTTTTCCAAATCATCACTTAATTAAATTTTCATATTATATATATATATATATATATATATATATATATATAATTTCGTCTTATTACTATTATTATTATTTTCAATTTAATATATGAGTTATTAACTTATTTAATGAAAATTGTAATATGTCACTGATATATATATATATATATATATATATATATATATATATATATATATATATATATATAAAGATATTTGTGCTAATAAGATATCATTGATGATATATATCAATCATATTAAAATTTGATATTTATGCAAAAATAAGATTAGCTGTAACATGTATTACAGCAATGCAATTATATACTTTTCAATTAGACCTTTAATGATATTGATAAAATAACAACATTGATTTATTTTTAAAATTTGTAACAATTAAGATTTAATTTATATTAAAAATAGTAGTGGAATAAAATTTAAAAATAATATGAGAAAAAAAAATTTTAACCTTAACTTAATATCATATTGGATCATGATTAACTAAAGATGTACATCGATCATATCTCGAGTTCAATATACAATTCCTCACCATACAAGAGATGAGGTGAGTTGAATTAAATTTAGTTTACTAATAATAATAAAAAACACAATATATTTTAATTAAATTTGGTGTTAGATTATTTGATACAATAAAACACCCTTCTATTATAACAATATTTTATAGTCATTTTGATCTAAATTTATTTGAAAATGTTTGTTTTTGAAATGTTCACTGAAATATAAGAAATATAGTTTCCTAGAAAATAGAAAATTTTCTTTCTAAAAAACACCACTAAAAGATGAACTACATGTGAAAACATATATTATTTTTGGGGAAACTTCTAAGTTTTTCACGGGTAAAGATCTCCTCGTATCAAACCTTATTTTTTAAAATTAGCTTTTTGTGCAAAAATGTTTATGGAAAATGAAAATATAACTTTCCTAAGTTAAAATAAAAGTTTCACATGAATCATGTTACTCTGATTAGAATGTAATCAAGTATTTCACTTGTTCCACAATTACTACAAGTTTAGCCTTTGTTAGGTAGTAGTTGATCAGTTAGAATAACTGTTACCGTTATTTCTTATGTTCCTTTACTTTTGTTTTCAGTTTTTTAGTTAGAGAAAGTTATCCTCTTTATTTTTTGGTTACTTAGTTCTATATAACTAAATTCCTGTATATTTTTAAAGCTTGAAATTTTTCTTTATTATAAATTAATATTTTAATGTTTTAATCTAGAGTTTTTTTTTTAAATTGTCGTTTAATTAATTAATCATTTTGTCTTAGTCAAAATAATATATACTTTTAAAAAACAGTAGATTATTTTCAAAAAATATATTTATCATTATTTTTATTATACAAGTAAAGTTTTTAAACTGCAGTTAACAATTATTCTTTTATTCATGTGTATATTATGTAAATACTCTCAATATATTTTTATCAGTCAAACAAAATGTAGTTGTTTTAAAAACATTATAATTTATAGAATTTGTGACTTTTAAATCGGAAGTTTAATAATATAAATATCTTAACAATCATTCATTTTAATATTTATGGTGTTGTTGATACATATTATTTATAAAAAATAATAATTAATACTTACCCATAAAATAAATATTCTTCTCTTCTATATCCCAAATATAATTTTCCTTTTTTACAACTTTATTCTATTTTCAAATGCCCTTGTAAAATATTTCACAAGTTTTTCTTACTTTATTATTATAAAATCAAAGTCTAAAAATCAAACTTTAACTAAAATAATACGATTTTTATATTTCTATTTAACATATTTAATATATTTTAAAATCAATTTTAACAAAAAATTAATATTAACATCTCACTTGTTATCTAACAACTTCACTCATAATTTAATAATTTTAAACAAATTTTAACTAATAACAAAATATATATTAAAAAACATGTTAAAAATTATATTGTCAGTGTCTGGTAAATATAACCATTCATCAGTTTTCTCTTTCATCTTAACTGTTTGTTTTTTTCTCATTTTTCTTATAATTTGTATCATCATATTTATATTAATTATCGTCTTTTTCTTTTCCCTTTCTTTCTTGTCTAATTTAATCTAAAAACAGAGTGATGGATATCACACAAGTTGTGGCTCAGTTACAAGTCGTGTCAAGGAGAAGAACATGACAGAGTGAGTCGGTTGCACGCTGACTCGGTGGCTCAATGTGTCGATCCCACATGACATATGGGCGCGTGAGCGAGCACCTTGTACGTAGCTCCACGCACGAGTTCATGCACTGTCCAATCAGATCCCAATGCTGTTTGTTAACAACTGTGAATGTGAGAACAAGACACAAACTTTCCCACTCAGGTCATGCCATCAGAATCATCATAACCCTAAACTTAAGGTCCCCCTTTGACATTTTCATAATGTCAATCCAAAAGCCAAATCAATCTCTTAAAAAAACCAACTAAGCAACAGAGCATATCTCTCTAACTCCTCCAACCCCTACAAAATTCCACTTTCACATACTATCTCTCTCCCTTTCTTTTCAAATTTTCAAGTATAAATAATTAATTGCCCAACTCAGTCAGTGCTCCACCAACCCTTCTTCTTTCTTCCTCTCCTCTCCAATTCATTCCAAAAGTCAGCGCCATCTTTTCCGCCCTATTTTCTCCCTCTCTTCCCAAACTTTGTTGCTCTGTTTGGAAAAAAGAACTAAACTTTTTTTATCTGGTTTAAAGCCATACATACCCAGAACTCTGTTTATTTCTTCTATTATCTTGCGCGGCTTAAATGGATGAGGACTGGGATCTCTTTGCCGTCGTCCGAAGCTGCCAATCAACCACCAATACTTCTACCACAGCAATTCCACAAACCACCACCAATAATTCTCTGTCTTCCCTCCTCACTTCTACTGTCAAGGACCAAAAATATGATGCATTTTCCTTCCCCAATAATACAGTGCAACCCATAACCGATGAGTTTCATGAACTACACCAATTGTTTACACCCTTTAACCCCACCACCCCCACTATCCCTAGTGCTCCTGGCATCAATCCTAATTCCCCTTATTTCGCAGAACAGGAAAGTCAGCAAATTAGTGACCACCTTCCCATTTGGCCTCATTTTCTACCAGAACCTTCCACTCCCAGTTTCAACAGATTCCCTAACCATCAACAACAGCAACAGAATCAACTACAGGTCCTTCAGAAACAGGAATTTCATGCACCCCAGAACAGTTCTCCCACAGTTTCACCAAACACACAACCTCAAACACCCAAATCAAGAAAAAGGTATCAAAATATTCCATCAATAATGAATATCTTTTACAACCCAAATAATTGAATTTTCACATACACGAACATAAAATCAGTATATTTACTTTTACATTTACCATTCCCTTTTCTTGTTTTGTAGAAAAAGCCAACAGAAGAAAATGGTGTGTCAGGTAACAGCAGATAACCTCTCAGCGGATTTGTGGGCATGGCGAAAATACGGACAAAAACCGATTAAGGGTTCTCCATATCCAAGGTATGCATCACAGACATATACTCATAAACTATAATTCTGACCGATTTTTCCATCCAGTTTCTGTTAGTTTCTCAGGAAAATGCTAATACCAGTTACACATACATATTCGTAGGAATTACTATAGGTGTAGCAGCTCCAAAGGTTGTATGGCTCGAAAACAAGTTGAACGGAGTAACACTGAAACCGATATGTTCATTGTTACCTACACCGGAGACCACTCGCATCCCCGGCCAATCCACCGGAACTCGCTTGCCGGAAGTACCCGGAGTAAGACTCCGACGACGAATCCGCCACTGTTACCCGGGTCACTTTCCTTTCAAGATGCATCCTTTTCTTCTTCACCGCCACACTCTCCCACGTCGCCATCAGAAAATCCACCGGAAACCTGTGATGTCGAACCCGACCCGGATATGGAAACTGACGTGGACGATGACGGTGACATTCGATGACCCCATCACCGCCTTCTTGTGCAGCAAGTTTTGCATTGAAGTGACGTTGTCTCAGACTTGAAGAACCAAACCGGTTTTGATTTGACTTCTAGCGAACCGGTTTGAAATCATGTCTGTTTGGATCTCCTGGACCGGTCTCAGTTATCTTCATTGGTGACCGTAGGATCATAATTTTCGTGAATCGTTGATTCTCATTTTTCAAATCGAAGCCGTACACTTAAATCTTTGGCCTAGTTTTGCTCCTCAACAATCTGCCACCTAAGATTGCCACGTGGCTAACCAAAGACCCTAGATCTGCCAAGTAATTTTATAATTTTTGTAAAATATTTCTTTTATTTATTTCTTTAAATACTGTTTTCGTATTTTATTATGTGTTTTATTTTAATTTATTAAACTTTAATTTTAGAATATAAATATTTATTTTTAAAATAATTAATTATTAAAAATAAATATTGATAAAATTAAAAAATAAAAACTAAAAAAATATGTAATAAATGAAAAAAAATGATATTTTTTATTATTCTTACATATTTTTATAATTAAAAAATAAATAATAGAAATATAAAGTATATTTTTTCTCTTTTCGATTATTAATAACGAGAAGAGAATTTTAAATAATAAGAACAAATTTGGCACTTCAGTAATATTGATTTGAAAGCTTAACATATTGAAAGCGTCTAAATTATTAAGAAAAGAAAACAATTTTTTTTTTTAATAAGATTGGTGACCAAGTCAAACTTTGAAGTTTCTACATCATTGTCAACACGGCTAGCATAATGGCAAGGCACATCCAATCTAAAACTGATACGAAGTTTAATATCAATTTCTAATATATTTTTTATCATCGTGATTACGTTTGTGTAAATAAGATAAAGATAAATGTTTCGTACCACCCAAATGATAGTTATGTGTTTCAGTTCCACACTTTATTGATAAGTAAAATCTAAACGTTGTTTAGATCTAACTTGATTGTAATATAAGTAAGTTTCAAACAGAAGTTTTAACATAGCTTGGTTAAGCTCAGAATAGGTGGAAAAGAGCATTTGCAGGTCAAACCTAGCAAGATAAGTTGCAGACATGGTCTATTTAAGATAAGTATTAAAGCGGGTGAACGTGATACATCAAATGCTTTTGTTAAATGGTTGTTATATGACGCAATGAAACATGCACGTTAAATCTAAATATGTGAGTTGTTATACGATCCAATGGCCAAGGATGGTATAATTAATTAAGGGAAATCTGAATGAGAGATGAGATGGCTCTCTGACCTAGTCTTACTCTCACATGCATCTTGTTTAGTGTTTAGTTCATATTTTCAACACAGCAAACAAGTTTTCTCACTTCACCAAGTGTGTTGAATAATGTGCCTTCTCTCTCAAAGACTAGATTGTAGGAGGGATGGCAAAACGGGTTAGGTCCGGCTACTAGCCCACTAGTCCGCCATAATATGGCGGAACGGGTTAGTGTTTTCAGCCTACCAGCTCGCTTTGGTCCGTCCCGCTAAGCCCGTCAATCCGTTGGGCCAACTTGCGGGACGGGGTGGGTCAGCCTGCGGGACGGGGCGGGCCAGCCTGCGGCCCACTTAATTAATAAAAAATAAATTTGTATTGTAATAAAATTAATTATAAAGATAATATATAAAGTTAAAATTTTTAAAAAGAATTAAAAATTTTTCATTCTCACGTAAAATATTCTCCTTCCCGAAATATAACAACCTTCTCTCATGTTCTCCTTATTTATCCTAAGCACTCGATTATTTTTATCCTTATTACTTGAATTAAAGGTATAAGAATTACTCAACCAAGAATAATATGAAGTTTTATCAAATAAAAAAGATATAGGTATTTGAATTTTTTAATATAAAAAATATAATTTTTATAAGTTTAACGTTTATATATATATATATATATATATATTTGTTATTATTTATTATTATGTAAATTTTATTATTATTGTAAATTATAATTTCTTAAAATAATGTATTTATTTATATTATTAAATTGAAATAATATATATATATATATATATATTGAATTATTGACAAATAAATAATAATCTTATTATTAAATTTATTAAAAAAATTATTTAAAAAAATTATTTTTTCTGAATTATGGCAGTCGACCACTGATCAGCTAACTTCGTCCTTAACTGGACGGACCAAGATCTACGTACCGTCATGACTATATCGGGTCAGTTTGCTCCGCATGCTTTTGGCATGCCAAAGGCAAGTTTTCCCATCCCTAAATTGTAGTGGATATTCGTCACTTAAAACAATTACTTAAAATTGATGATTTGTTACAAAGTGTATTTTACTGGAAACAATTTTACATGAGTTAAAACCATAAAACTCTTTTTCGAATGGACCATCTAAATTTTCATCAACATCCAAATGCACCCATTTTTTTAAATTTTAAATAAATATTTATATGATAATATAATATTTTAATAAAAAAAGTGAGTGCCATAAGGAGGAAATTGAAATGAAGGTATATGTTTGTAATGATAAAATTTATAATTTTTACTCCAACAATAACAACAAATACGATTCAGAATCCTAAATAATCTATTTTGTTTCATTCACATTGCCAGAAAAAAAGCGTCCAAAGTAAAAACCCAACGAATTACATGAATAAAGGGTTAACTCAAGTTATTTTAGCAAAACCTGAAAAAGAAAATATGTTAGGATCATCCACGTAACGTGCTTAACAAATTGAAAAAAAAAAGAAGAAGAAAGGTTTCAACACATTATGAGTGACCTTTACATGAACACTGGCCGTCCTTAAAGAAATGGAATCGTTTCCTATCCCTCACAATTATCTCCCTGTCAGCAAATTGTGTCGCAAGCATTATAAAAGAATGGCAGTGACTGCAGATAAGTGAATTCTTGTTTATTCGTATTGGAGCCTTAGTTGGTACACTAAGAACACCAAATGCAAGGGCTAATTGCTCTGCGTGGTATAATTTATCTTCATTCTCTTGGTATGGATACCCTCTATTCTTTATTTCAGTTATAAAAAACAATACCTTTTCGTTAATCTCATCCTTATCTATCTTCTCTCTTGCAGAGAAGACATAAATCTTACCCCTTACCTCCATCCAACACTGCCTGGGGCTTCTTCTTAAGCCCCTTTCGCTCATCAGCTTGCGAGTCTTGTCACCGAAATCAGAGAGTCTGGCATTGTCATACAAACTTGCAAGCAGCAAATATACTGCAGGATCACTTGGATCAAGCTCAAGACATCTCCTTGCCATATCTTCTCCCAGTGGCACATTTCCATGTAAGTTGCAAGCATTCAATAGGGTTTTATAAATTACTGAATCTGGTATGAAAGGCATTGTTTCAATAACTCCCATAGCTTCCTCTAGGCGACCACCTCTACCAAGGAGATCAATTAAACACACATAGTGATCCAACTTTGGTGTTACATCATATGTTTTTTCCATGGAATAGAAATAATCAAGACCCTGGTTCAATAACCTACCTTGGCTGCAAGCAAAAATCAGTGATAAGAATGTGAAAGAATCAGGTTTAACTCCCGCTAATCTCATGTCATCAAAGGCAGAAAGAGCATCGGATATATGTCCATTTGATGCCAATCCAGATATCAAACTATTCCATGACACTGTATCTGTCTCACTTATATCTTTGAAAGCTTTGTATGCATCTTGCATGCTACCACACTTGCTGTACAAGTGAACAAGGCTATTTGAAACTGAGTTACATAGGAAACCTGATTTGACAGAGTAACAATGTAGCTGCTTTCCAGTTTCCATAGTGCCTAAGCCAGCTGCTGCTGATAAAAAACTTGTTAAACTAAATTCACTCATATTTATCTCATCGTTGCACATATGAGTGATGACTTTTAATGCCATTTCGTGATCTCCCCTTTGATTTAATTTTGCTGCTAAACTTGTGTATGTGATGGGATCTCTATGGTTCATCTTGCGAATTACAGACCATGCTTCATCTGCCATCCCCCCTCCAGCATAAGCATCTACAAGAGCATTCCCTACAACTATGTCTATGTCTGCTTTTGTTTTTATGATAAATCCATGAATTTTCATTGTTTGAATAAGAGATTTAATTTTGCTGCAAGCTCCAAGGATAGTAGATAGCGTAAATGAATTTGGTTGCACTCCAGCTGCTTGCATCTCACCGAATAACTGAAAAGATTCTTCTTCTAAACCATTTTCTGCAAAACCAGCAATCAAAGAGGTCCAAGAGACGACATTCGGCGAGGCTAGCCCTCTAAAAGCTTTCACTCCATTTGCTGTGGTCTGGGAGCATTTCATGTACATATCTATCAGCGCATTTCCAACAAAAATATCATCCTCCAATCCAGCCATGATGACCCGTGAATGAAACTGTTCCCCTAGCTCCAATGATAAAACTGAGGAGCTAGCATTCAATAAACTTGCATATGTATAATTGTTTGGTGGAGTTTTAGACAATCCCATATCAACAAACGCATTAACAGCCTCTCTAACCCGAAAATTTTGGACAAATCCAGAGATTATGGTAGTCCATAAGTACACATCGCATTCAGGCGTCTGATTATAGACCTTAATGGCATCTTCCATCCGCTTGCATTTTGCATACATATCAACAATGGCTGTCTTCAACACCAAATTCATTTCCACACCAAATCTGATTAATTGTGCGTGCAGTACTTTCCCACAACCCATTCCCAAACCGACAAAAGAAGACATGCTTAAGAGTTTAACAAATGTATAACCATTCGGGTAAAGTCCCGCTTCAATCATTTTGACATAGAGTTGTAGAGCTTCACTCCATTTACTAGTTTCCACCAATGAAGAGATCATGGTTGTCCAAGACACAACATCACCATCCTTCACAAATGTAAGCAATTTGTGTGATTCCACAGTGCAATCACACTTTGTGTACAAATCAACCAAAGTGGTAGCCAGAACCGCATTCAGCTCCAACCCAAGCTTAACCACACAGGCATGAATTTGAGCCCCAAACTCAAACTCTCCCAAGGCAGAACATGATCTTAAGGCACTGGACAAGGTGAACTCATTGGGGTATTGACCAGAACCTAGCATCATGTCAAACAACTCAAGGGCCTCAAAATGATGCTTGTTCCTGGTGTGAGCAGATAGAAGCGTAGTCCATGACACAACATCCTTGTGAGGCATTTCATCAAAGAAATGGCGTGCGGGTCCAACTCCAAAGCATTTGGCATACAAAGACAACAAATTGTTGCTCAAATACAAGTCATGTTGAAGACCCACTTTGATCATTGGGCTATGAACACATGCTCCCTCCTCCATGGTCTTTGAGTTGCATAGAGAGAGAACCTGCAAGCAAGTTTCTCGGAAACGGCATGGAAAAGAAGTGTTAGCAACTGTTTTACTACATAACATCATGACCCAACGATGTTGTGGGGAGACACATTCGTTGTTAGCAACAACTTGTTGCTAGTAAATGCTTGGAAGTAGCATAGTTCATATTAATAGGCAACTTTAAACGGCGTTCGAAATTACGTAGGTTGTTCAATCAAATGTCATGAAAATGACGGGCTTGTGAGGGAGCTCCAAAATAAAAGGAAGCACTTTTCAGGATCAGAGTTTTGCAATTCGTAAATTAACCATACCCAAACAAATGCATTAGATTTTTGCGAGAATGCATTCGGTTAATTAATTAAAAATAAATATTTTTCTTTCTTCTAAAATGATTTTTTTACTTAACATTATTAAATTTTGTTCAATTAAATATACTAATTTATCTTTAAATTTTAAATAATTATAAAGTTTATCTTTACAACATTTTTAAATTTATTTGAATTAAAATATAGTTATATATGCTTATATACTTGCTAGTTTTATTATAAGATTATATATATACAATTCATCTTTTCATATACATCATCTTATAACTCTAATTTATTAATATAATAATAAATATATAAAAATGTTAAAATTTATTATTATTATATTAATAAAAATTTATTTAAAAGTTATTTTTAATGGATTGTGAAAATATGTCTTTTTTTCTGATAACTTTCTAACATGATTAAAAAAATAGATATAATTTTTAATATATAAATTAAAATTTAGTGGACAAGTTTCTGTATAATTTATATACATAAACTAATATATTAAATTTCTTTCATATGGATTTTTAATTTTTAATTTTTTAATTTGTGTAAAATTATTTTATTTTTTCTTATTATTTCTTGTGTATTTTTTTAAAGTCGAAAATTTATATTTGTATAATATTAATATTCTGACTTCCCTGCATTATACATATTCATGCCTGGGGGATATCTTTACCAGTATTGAGTAAATTACTATTTTAATGATTAAAAATGTAGCTTTCAGAAAGAAAAAAAATGAATACTGAAAGTGAAACGCACATTAATTAATTAGTTGTGTGGTTTTGCTTCATCATTAATAAATTTACAAAACCATTGTTGGTGAATGAATAAAACATTTTTATTCTAAAATAATTTCCTCTTAATTTAGTTCTACGTTCCTAGACTTTTCTATGGTAACTGATGAATAATAAAATAAATTATAACTTTCAGAAATCTATTATTCGTAATCTGATTTATAAGGAATGTAATCCTATGTTGCATTTTTTTTTTCCATTACCTTGTTTCAACTCTCACACTTCAAGTGTTGGCCTCTCTCTCTCTCTCTCTCTCTCTCTCTCTCTCAAATACTTCACTCTGTTTTACTTTTTTTTCTTCTTTTTTCCTTACTCTTCAATGGCTCCCGATCTTGAGCTTAAGTCCAAAGAGGCTTTGGTAGATGAGAACTATTATCTCGTCTACGACCTCTTCTATAAGGCCATTGGCCTCAACCCCAACAACGCCGACTTATATGCTGACCGTGCCCAGGTTAACATTAAAGTCAACAACCTCACCAGTATGCACTTTTTCTCTGAAAGAAGTAAACTTTGACCTTGAAACTATAACCAGATTCATTGGGTCGTTTCTTTTGGGAATAGAATTTGGTCAAGTTACGAAATTTTTCAAAAGGTTTTAACCAAGATGGATATTTTGTTGCCTGGGCCTTTATGTAGATCAAATGATCAATGTTTTGGTGACTAATTTTTCTTGCCTGTTTCTCTCCAGATGCTGTTGTTGATGCAAATAAAGCAATTGAGCTGAATCCTTCTCACTCGAAAGCTTATTTGCGCAAAGGGTGAGCCTGATGCCACCTTTTTTTTTCTTCGAACCTTTTGTTGATACCATTACAATTTGAGTTTTTCCGACGCATAATTTCCTTCAATTTCATTTTTTTTTCTCTCCTAGAGGTCGTTATCAAGAATTTCGACCAAACATGCCTTAAGTGCATTATATCATCATTTCTCAAAAAAATTTCCATTCTGTTTTAAGCTCCTTATGTTCTTGGTTGATTGGATTGTAGTTATTATTTACCAAGCTTCGTGATGTGACTTTATTTGGTATTTTGTTGTAGTAAGGTATGCATCATGCTTGAGGAATGTGAGACTGCTAAGGCATCTCTGGAGATGGGTGCTTCATTGGCTCCAGGAGACTCTAGATTTACTGATTGATTGATTTCATTAAAGAGTGTGATACGCGCTGATTGCAGGTAAACATTTATTTTATATGTGGTGAAACTTTATATTTTAGTTCATTTTTTTTTGGAGTTAGCTGACCACACCTAGCAGGGAGAAAATTTCATTATATGAAATGAAACCTTATCATTATGTGTTGACCTTTGAAAGGGAAAAGGAACATGTCTTACTGAGAATATGAACTTGAGGTGTTTGATTGAAATATTATGTTGAACAGAAGAATCTGGTATACCAGAAAGAGTACAACACAGGGGGTGCTGCTCAGCCAGAGAAAAATTGGTGTATTGTTCATTTATGTGGCTGAAAGAATTTATGAGGTACAAATTTCTAATATTGATTGATGTTAGTTTTATTTTGTTCTGTCCTTTTCTCGCTTACCTTTGGGCATCTGAATTTTCATTTGCCAAATACTGTAATTTAGTTAATTTGTGAACATAAACAACCTTACAACAACTCACCTTTTGCCTTTGGATCTGGGTGGATGCTCCTGAAGACTCTAGTTCTGTTTATGTTCTATTAAACTGCTATAACTTTTGTGAAACTTTTTATGGCAAGGAATGGTGTGAACAATAATAATTAGTACATCCAAAGTTATTTGAGTATGTAGTATTTTTGCGTGCTAATATGAGTACATGGTCGAGGTGTAGTGAAACCTAAACATGCATTATTTCATACCATGAATTATGCAGCTGCTAGAGACTATAGACCTTCTTTTCCATCCTCGAAGTAAAAAAGAATAGATTGGGATAAGTTGGAAGCTCAAGTTAAGAAAGAAGTTTGTCATGTCTACATATACAAAATGTTTTAGTCCTTACTAGGTTTTGTGCACTTCCTTCCCCTAACACTTAATTTCAGTAGAGAGAGGAAAAGCTTGATGGTGTGATACTATATTGAACACAATTTTCCTTGAGATATATCAAGATGCAGACGAAGACACAAGGAGCGCAATGAGCAAATCATTTGTGACAATATGAAGAAAAAATAAGTTATGTATTAACAGTTTAAAGGAGTTTTATATTATTAATCAATCACAGACTACCATGAATTTTTGTTATTTTTATCATAACTCCTTGAAAGTTATATTTACTTTTATTTTTGTATTTGAATGACAATATAAAACCATTTACTTAAAACATAAATTCTAATAATAAAACGTGGAGTCAAAGTTATTATTGATTTTTACTTACATATCTTGAATAATTTAAATATGGTATTCCCCAATATATTTGTTTCAAAGTCATACTATAACAATTCTTTTTTTCTTTAATTTTTTTTAAATAATTTTTCTCATGATAGTTAAATTAATGTTTACATTCTCAGCTATGTATTATTAATCATTTAATACCTTTTATGTCTTTTATTTAAAAAAAAATAAATTATTGAAACAAAAACTTAAACATAATATATATTTCTATTATTGGAATTTTTAATATTTTGTTAAAATTTTACCTATCATTTGTTTTATATCTTACAAAATTTAATGGTACAAATTTTCATAAAACTTTTATAAAAATTTTGCAGGAAATCTGAATCATTTTAATAATTCTTTTAAATAACTACAACAAATATATTAATAAAATACATTTTTTTTAATTATGTATTGATAATTATCATTCATTAAACTAAAATAAATTATATATATATAAATTTTTTAATCACAAGCACAACTTTTCTTAAAAAATTGTGTATTTAAAAATATTAAACATAACGGGTTAGATTTTGTTTTTCATAATTAACATATTGTTATTACATTATTTCTATTTATTTTTTTATTTGATTTCAATGCATGAATAATTAATTTTATTAATGAAAATTTCATTTTTCTTTTTCAATGGCAAAAGAGATTTTTTTTAATTTAATCTGTAAAGAATCATAATTATGTTTTTGAATTTACTAAGATTTTTAATCATTTTTAAATTTCATCTAAAATAAATAATTAATATAAATAATACAATATGTAGTTGAAGTAAATTAAGTATGAATTATAAAATTTCTAACATAAGTATTATTATGAACAAAACTTTATCTGGGGAGATACTATTGAGAAGAAAATGAGTAAGTAGATTGATAGCAATGCGACAAAAATGAGTGTGAATTTTTTCATATAGAAAAGTTTTATTAGCGAAGAGATACATATAAAATAGTTAAAAAATACGACAAATTTCTTAATTTTTGTTCTGTTTGTATTTCTCTATTATACTTTAAATTGTTTTTTAATATCTTTTCCTATGATGAGAGTAGTCGGTTTCATGCATTTAGCCATATTCGATTTAATCCACACTACCCAAATTAGTTATTTGGATTAAATTATGTGAATTAAAAAAAAGTTAAATGTGATTAATTAGATTATTTTGGTTAATGAGGTGTGTTAAGTGGAAGAAAGTGTTTCTATATATAGTTATTAGTAACAGAGAGAAAATATATGGTAGCAAATAGCATTGGCAAGAGTAGGACCCGCTTCCTATGTGTTTGTTAAATTTTGCACTCTCACTCCCTTTTTACCTTTTCTTCCTCTCATCTCTTCTCCTTTTTATGGCTTCACTTTCCTTCTTCCACACTTCTATTCTTTTCGGTAAGGATTTCATTTTTTTTTGTCTGTTTCCATTTTTTAAGTCTTTCTTCTTTTGCTTTCTTCCTTGCACTCTTTTATCCGCAACGAAACTCTACACAAATTATTTGTTAATGGCTATTTTTTAGATTTTTCATGAAAAAAACGGATCGTGACTACGAACTTCTGTTTAAAGGTAAACATAATGTAAGGGATGTTCGTTTTATTTTATCTTTTCATCCCTAATTTTCAGTAGTGTTATTGATTGAGGATTGATTTTACTTTGGTGGTAAATGAATGGCGAATGCCTTCGTCCATTTTGTGCCAGGCTCCTATATTAGGTTTGAATCATAGTACTGAATTAATAACTTCGCCTTAAATTTTCTTGGATTTTTCTTTCTCTGTCTCCACTCTTAATTATTTTTTTTTTCGTCTTCTCAAATGATGTGACTAGTCAGAATTCAGGAGAATACGATTTTCAATGGAAAATATGGTAATGATTATTAAACAAAAATGAAAAATAACATTTGTATTGATAATATAAAGGATTTTATATTGTTTCTAGTTATTTTTTATAATAATCATCTTAAGAGGTATATCTATTATAATTTTTAATTGGTTGAGTGTAAATTTGTTTTACAATGACTGTATATATAAATAATTTCACTTGAAAATTAATTATTGAAATACAATTTAATTTTGAAATGTTATATATATAAATATATAATCTCATTACAGATATTAATCATTGATTTTCTTATTAATAATTATGTGTATATTATATTTTTTAAGTTGGTCTTCCAGAAGTCAAATCCCTGGCATTTTTAAGATATTTTTAATTGATGCGAACAGTTAGTATTGCAAAATAATTCAATAAGAATGTTCTTTTGATCGTAACAGTATAATATTAGCTCCTAATAGGATGATGCAGTGTAGTAACGTAAAATATTTTTATACGTTAGTACAACATAGTGTATTTTGATGAGTATTTTTGTAAGTATTACAGAAAATAATAAAAGAAAAATGAAATTAATGACACATAATTTAAAATTAACTTATTTATCAATTAATTTGAAAAAATTATTTTATATATTTTTTATTTATATAATTTAAATTTAATTTATAAAAATGTTTTATTTTTTTCCTATAGAAGAGTACTTAAGGAGAAAAGCTTATATATTTTTGTTAACTTCTAACATCATTCCAAGACAAGCTGTTTAACTAGATATGAAAAGTAGCCTAATAAAATAGTCCAGTGTACGAAAGTGTTGTTCATCAATGAACATGTAAACATTACAATCCAATTACTTATATTTAAAAAATAATTATTATATTTTTCTTATAATATATGTTTCTTTCCCTAATTTTTTAATTGTTGTATTTTTAAACATATGGGTTATCATTTGTCTATTTAAGTATGTTTTGACAGCTTTTCTATAAGCTCTTTTAGAATAAAAATTTATTTATTTACTTTAAAAATATCATAGAGAAGTTTCATTTTAGTTTATATATAAGCCAATTTAGTTTGTAGAGAAGTTAATTTAACTTGTAGAAAAACTAATTTTATCTTAGAAGTTAATTTCAATTTTTCTTCTAAGTTTTCTACTAAAAAATGTTATGAAAAAGTTTGAAGATTGTATATTGACTACATAGAAATTTCTTGGTACTATATCTACTGAACATGTGTGTTCATGCTTTGATGCAGATGTTAGACACATGGTATGTTTATGGCTTCTTATTCTTTAATGAGAAGGCTTCACAACTTTGCCTGTATTATTATGGATGCTTCGACATATTTGTACTGGCAGAAAACATGCTAAGCTAGGAAGAGAGCAACCGAATAATAATAGATCCCTTGTGTAACGGTACATTGATTGGGTATGTAGAAATTCTATGTTGGTCTAATTTGGGTCAACTCGACGGTGTATTTGATTGAAATATTCATTGTCAACTGAGCTGCTTATGATGTCAAATACGTAGCTACTAACAAAAGAAAGTCTCATCCTTAAATTTTTAAGTTACTATTGTTCTAAGTTTTTTTACTTTGGATGCATACACCCTTGCATTTGCAGAGAGAGATGGTTGCCTTTGGCAAAAAGTTGAAAGAAAGACAGATTCAAGAATGGCAAGGGTATGCATTTTGCCTGTGTTGTCTGCCTATGGTTTCATTTTTACACATGGTCATGATTTTTTACTTTTAATTTAGATATTACATAAACTACAAATTAATGAAGAAGCGAGTTAAGCAATATGGTCAACAAATTCAACTAGGAACACTAGATCGCCGCCATGTACTTAAGGATTTCTCAAGAATGCTGGATAATCAGGTCCGTTCCCATCGTTGACTGTATAATTATGATTTGAGTCAGAGACTTAACGTTGTAAAGTTGAGTATTTTTCATTACTTCAAACTGCTAAATTTAGATTCTGGTTGAGTATATGGGTAAATGGATGGCATTCAGTTATTGTGTGATACAATTGTTTCACTCACTTACTACAATTCAGATTGAAAAGACTGTCCTTTTCCTGTTGGAACAACAAGGGCATTTAGCAAGCAGGATAGCAAAGCTCGGAGAGGAACATGAAATTATTCAGCAGGAGCCTCGATTAAGCAGAATAGCTGAACTACAAGAAGCTTATAGAGCAGTGGGACAAGAGCTATTGAAGCTTCTCTTCTTTGTGGAAGTCAATGCTGTTGGTTTGCGTAAGATATTGAAGAAGTTTGACAAACGTTTAGGCTATAAATTTACTGATTACTATGTTAAAACTCGGGCAAATCATCCTTACTCCCAGCTGCAGCAAGTTTTCAAGCATGTGGTAATATATTTATTTCAAGCACAAATTTGCATTTGGACTTTTTCAGAATAAAATACACCGTTAGAAAACTACCTTAACTTTATCTTCTATTTTCTTGCTACAAATGAGATTGCCTGACATACGAAACTTGCAGGGATTTGGAGCTGTTGTTGGAGCTTTATCTCGCAACCTTCATGAACTTCAGGGGACTCAGGAAAGTCAAGGGAGCTTCTTATCAATTTATGATCAACCTACTCTTCCCCTTCAGGTTCTTCTACATTGACTTTGTTTCATCCCCTGATGTTAATTGTCATGTTTTCTCTCTGTTTTTAGGCAAGCTTTAGTAGCTGGCTAAGAAGCAACACAAGTTCAGTGATTTTCCATCATAATTACTTGGTCTTACTTATTTTCAGGATCCCGTTATTGATTCAATAAGAGCAGCGGTTGATAGGTTAACTAACTCAACCAACTTCTTAAACTTTTTGGGGAAGCATGCACTTATTGTGGATGAGGAGCTACCAACATCTATTGATGAGCATGCTGATGATCAAAGATATCATTTTATGTCTCTTTTCCTAAACTTGGCAAACACATTTTTATATATGGTCAATACATATATTATAGTCCCTACTGCAGATGATTACTCCATGAGCCTTGGAGCTGCACCAACGGTTTGTGGTATTGTGATCGGGGCAATGGCAGTTGCACAGGTGTTTTCTTCAGTGTACTTTAGTGCGTGGTCAAATAAATCATACTTCAGACCTCTTGTATTCAGTAGCATAGTTCTTTTTCTCGGCAATGCCATGTATGCCTTGGCATATGATCTTAATTCGATATGGATTCTCCTATTTGGTCGTCTTCTATGTGGGTAAGCACTCTTGTATCTTTTACTTACTTCCATTACTTGATGGCCGTAGGTTTTGATTTTGCAATATCATTTTACTTTCGACAAGTATTATTACATTATCTGTTTTGCGTCTAGTGTTATAACCATTGTCCGTATCCAGAATAAGGATCGGGAAAGATTAATTTTGATTCTTTGTTGTTTGTTAAATAGGAAACTTTGTATACTGTGATTTACATGTTGCTTGAAATTTGTTCGAGTTGACTTGTATAAATATTGAAAACCATCATGAATTATTGGGGCCATTTTACGTTTTTTTAATACCGAAGCTAGGGATATGTTAAGGTACTAGTCACATTAGGACCTAAATCCAGTGATAAACATCTGATTTTAATTGCAGGTTTGGTTCTGCCAGAGCTGTTAATCGACGCTATATTAGTGATTGTGTACCTTTGAAAATCCGCATGCAAGCCTCGGCAGGTTTTGTTAGTGCCAGTGCTCTTGGAATGGCCTGTGGTCCTGCATTAGCTGGCTTACTACAGACCAATTTTCAGATTTTCAACATTACATTTAATCAAGATACCTTACCAGGGTGGGTAATGACTATTGCTTGGCTACTATATCTAGCGTGGTTGTGGATCACTTTTAAGGAACCTTCTCGTGAAAATGAAGAGAATAACATAGCACATCAATCCAATGCTGGTACCAAACTCATAATTCATCCTTTCTTTGCTGATGATTTCTATTTTTTCTGTTGTGTCTTTATAAGATTGTTTATCTGCATTAATCCTTTGATTTCATTGCTGGGTCCTACTATTTCATAAATTCACTTGATTTTTTGCCCTTAAGTTCTAGCATTCAGTAATGAAAAAATATTTCATTAATGACACTGGTAATCGTTTATACTTTTGACCACTGTCAAAATAACAATAAATATCATATTCTTCCTGATCAAAGGAAATGGAAATTGATGCATATATTAAATTATTAAATTCGGTTTTATAATAACTTTGTATTTTGCTTCATACTTTAAGACGCACATGTATTACCAGACCATAGCCTCTCTGACTCACAAGCTTTATAAAACTTTATTGTTCAACTGTGCTCCCACTACTTCTAATGCTACCTTGTTAAGTATTTTGGACCCTGAAAACACGACCAATGACCTACCGAGTAGGACAAACAAGGATATGAAGGAAATTAGTAATAAAAACTGAAAAATCAGTGGGAAGTATTTACCTGGAATGCTATCTCTAATGAATTTGTAAATCTGCTGCCTAAATGTAATATTTATAAATTAGGGAGAAATATAGGTAACACTTCTGGTACTAAAGACTAATTCTTTAAATATTAGAGTTTGTCTCTGTTCCTTGAGATTTGTAGAAAAACGTCTAAAACCACGTTATCTTTATATTATAATGACATATTTCATGGGTTAGTTCATTCTTTTAAACTACAAAATTGATGATGACAGTTTTTTTGCTTGTACTAACAGAAAACAGTGCACTTGAAAAAGGCTTGAAACAACGCTTGCTAATTAGTTCAGAAGTTAAGGTAGATGAAGATGCTGATCAGGATAACGATGATAGTGAAGAAGCTCCAGAAGAATCTCCTCAGCCAGCCAATTCAATTGGAGCAGCATATAGACTCCTTACACCTTCAGTAAAGGTTTGAGAGCAATTCTAAATGTTACAGTATCAACCCATAAAATGTTGTATCTCCACTAACCATTAGTTTACTAGAAGCATATGTTTTAATCACTGTTAAATTTAATTTTCATGTGACACACCATACGCTCCTGTCGTAAAATTTGTCTACTAGGCCCGTAAATGAATTTCCTTTCATTTATTGCAAAAATGCAACTTAGAGAGATGACCTTGTCCTCGTTGAAGTTTGCAAAACATTTTTACTTGGTATAATAATTTAAGTTAGACCATAGATCATAGCGAAGGTTCTTTTTGCAACCGATTAGATTCCCTTGAGGACAGAGGCCTGAAGCCCTGATAAATTTATTGGTTTCTATTTTAAGAGAGGTCTCGTAAGCATTTCTTTTAATTCGGGCATCTAATTAATATGAATTATTAATTAATAATGAAGTTACACTAAACTAAGTAAAAATATTAATTGGTTATTTAGGCAACCATGGTAACATAAAGGTCAGATGGTAGATCATGTTTAATATCTTAGTAACTCCTAAGCTAGAGATTCAGAGAGGATTTATTTAGGTTAATGATTAATGACTTTGGTTTCCGTAGTAGTAATCTTTGAATAGGACTCGATCTGTCTTCTGAACAGGTGACAAGTATCTCCAGATAGCCCAGCAGGTCAAATTTGAGCATAACAAGCGCAAGAGGCTTTGGAATTCAATGAATTTGAGCATTACAAGTTTTCTTTCAATTTAAGATTACAGATACATGGAAATGGAATTGTGGAAGAATATTTTTAAATTTTTTTCTTTTTACCTGATTACAATTTGTTGACATGGATCCTGGGTTCTGGTTGCGAAAGACTGTGTGAGCATTATTACTAATTTGCATTCCATTTATGATTACGTAGAACCGTGGGAGGAAAATGGATTTTGTCTATAATAAAACTAAGGGATCTGAAACTGGATGTAGAATTTTATTTCCGAATAAGTGCAAACATGAGCCCCCACGATAACAACATTAAAAGAAGATTTATACTGCTAAATTTGCAAGATGAGCACTTTCTAGTTTATAATGTCAAATAAGATTATTTCGAAGTCGTATATGTTTCTTGACACAAAGATTTTCCTCATTCAGCTTATTGTTATTTTGGATTATCTAGAATTGTGAAATATTTTATGTACTGTTTGTTTGATATCACAATTTACAAAGTCCCAATTGAAGACTAGATAAAAGATTGTTCATCTGACCAACGTTATGTGACATCTCAGGTTCAGTTACTGATATATTTCATGCTCAAATATGCGATGGAGATTTTACTATCAGAATCTAGTGTAGTCACGACATACTACTTCAATTGGACAACAAGCACGGTTTCCGTTTTTCTTGCTTGTCTTGGCTTGACTGTTCTTCCTGTCAACATTATTGTTGGAACTTATATAAGCAATATGTTTGAGGACAGGTAACGTGTGATAAATAATACTACACTTCATTTGATTATCAATCATAAAGTTAATTTATGCTTTGGAGTTTGTAGAAAGATGCATGACAAATTAATTATACATTTTGGACTTCAATGCGTGATAAAAAGATCAAAGCAATTGTAGAGATCCAATCCAATATTTTCACTTATCCACTCAACCTTAAAATTGTTGACACAATCCACCTACACAACTAAGATTTTCTTTCCCTTTGATCGTTTTGTAGGCAAATTCTGTTGGCATCAGAAATTATGGTTTTCGTAGGCATACTATTCAGCTTCCATGTAATTGTTCCATATTCTGAGCCACAGTATATCTGTTCAGGGCTCCTTATGTTTGTTTCTGCTGAAGTACTTGAAGGTAAGATCTTCAACTCTTATTAGTCACATCACTAATCTGCTTTCCAATTTATGATGGTAGAGATGCACAAGAATTGTGGTATTATCTCTCACTCTTAATTACTGAATATGATAATAATTACCATCAGGAACATACAGCGTAGTTTGACCAGCAAAGAGCATGTTGTTATTCTCTCAAATCCAGAGGGTCTTAAGATATATCACAAAAACGATCCTGTCCTGTATTTGTTTATGTTTTCTTCTTTGGAATGATCGTACAGCTTTTGATGAAATCCACCATCATTGTTATATCAAGAACTAACTTCACCATATTTCAGAAAGTTTCTAATCAAAATCAGAGTTTTTAAAAATGTTTGGATTAAGATTAAAAGTAACCAAATATTGACCGACAAAGAAAGAGCAAGAAGCATTTCATTGTGGACCATCATGAAAACATGTTGGGGTCATTGTTATGATGTTTGACAATCATTCATGCTTTACAGGCGTCAACTTGTCACTTCTTTCACGAGTTATGTCATCAAGGCTTTCTCGTGGAACCTACAATGGAGGGCTTTTGTCCACAGAGGCTGGGACACTTGCACGAGTGGTCGCAGATGCAACCATTACTCTTGCTGGCTATGTGAGTGTGAGTAGCCTCCTCAATATCACCCTCATGCCATCGTTCTTCATTTGCCTAGTTTCCATTATCGCGACTTGCTATACCTACAATTCTTTGTATTGATTAGGCCTTAATAGTACTTTGGTGTATGTTTTAAGAAAACTTGCTCACCATGTTCTTTGCTTCATTCCAATTTTGATCTATCATATTCTTCAAGCTCCATGAGGCAGTGAAAGTAGCTAGGCTATCAAGGGTACCTTATATGTTGTCCAAATGTAAATTCTTAGTTTGATGAATTCCTCATGTATCACCACAATCATTTAGAATGGTGATTAAACTAGTTTAAATTCAAGCTAATATCCTACTCTTATATAATAAAATAGTTTCTCCGCTTGAGAATGCATAGGGTATAAGGTGCGAGGTATTTTTATTTAGTACTTTTATACTATACCCTTTACATTATTTTTCTCACACAAATATTAACTTTGTAAATAAATTTTTTATATCATTTATTTATATTCTCAAATTATGTTCTTCAGCAGTTTTTTTTTTTAATTCAAGTTTTTTTAAACTTAGTTTTGATTTTTAAATTTTAAACTAATAAAGTTAATATTAAAATAAAAAAACCTTTAAATATTAAATTTAAAAATAAAGAAAGACTAAATTTATGTACTTTTAATCAATTTGAAAACAAAAATGCCGAAGTTAAATGTAACAAAAAAAAATATAGATTAAAAATATAGTTAAAATATAGTTATCTTAATTAGTTGTATATATAGTTTTGAATACTTTATTCTACTTTATATTTTTTTATTAGTAATTATACTCTAATCATAAAATTATTATAATTTTTTTATAATAACTTATAAATAAATTATATTTATATACAAATAAATGTATATCCGTGTAAATATATAAATATAAAATATAAAAATACAAATATATTTATATTTATATATTTTGATATATTTATATATTTACTAACGGATATATCCGTCGGAAACTAATTAGTAATTTTCACAGGTAATTACTCAGTATTCATCGATAATTTTTGTTGGTAATCACTCATTTTCCAACGATTACATATCCGTCGATAATTATTCGTGAAATATATACGGTTGTCATGATATTTATATTTTAGACATTCAGTTAATAATTTTATTTAATTTTTTGAAAAATCAAATTATTGGTAAAAAAATATTAATAATTAAAAAATTATTTATAATACTATAACTTATTTAAATTTATATTTTGAAAGATTAATTTTATTTATACTTATAGATGCAGTTTTATTTGAATTATACTTCTAAAAAAATTGAGTTTATATTTTTAAGGATTATTTTGAAATAATTTTATTTAAAGTTTAAAAAATGAAAAGTGGAAATATTTACATGTTTTCATGGATGGCAAGTATATAAAGATTCGTGAGTTTTTTTTTTTTTTTTATACATGACGGATAATGGAAAGATTGTTTTTACGGAACGAAAAGTAAATAAGTAGTACGCATGTTGGCCTCTTCCATTATCATCTATGTTCATAATGCATGATTTTTTCACTTCAATTATTGGCTAAGAAATATTGGTAACCTAAATTGAAAGGTAAATTTATGTAGAAGAGTGTAAAGAAGTGGAGAATAAACTAAGTTGACCAGTAATTTATTCATAGATGTATATTAAAAACCAGAGCTGAATAAACAGGATTGTCTTTTTTATTAAAATAACTATATGTTATAAAAGTACAATAATATTAAAAGCTGGAATAGCTCAGTTGGTTAGAGCGTGTGGCTGTTAACCACAAGGTCGGAGGTTCAAGCCCTCCTTCTAGCGTTTTTTTAGATTAATTTTTTGTTTTTTTAATATTTTTTGTCAAAAACAGTCTACTTTTCTTCTTTTTTTTTTTCAATTTTTTCTTTCTGAAAACTTTTTTTCTTTGTAAATTTTATATTTTGAAAAAAAAAATCTTTTTTTTTGCTTTTTTTTTTCAATTTTTATTTTTATCTTTACAAATTTTGATTTTTGCAAATTTTTAATTCTACCGGTTTTGCTTTTTTGCATTTTTGTTTTTTTTTTTTTTGCAAAATTTAAATTTTGACGATGGTTTATACTTTTTCATGCATAGACAAAAAAGAATATAAAAATAGCAAATTAAACAGCCTCCACTTACTGCAGCAGTAAATTTGGATCTATTTCACTGAACAAGTCTGGTTTTTTCTCTCTTCTTCATCCTATTACTTTGTGGAATCTAAGAGACAAAGGGAAAGAATAAAATTAAACACATTTTTTACATTTATATCCTTTTAATCAAAGAATATAAATAAACATAAATTGGTAATTTCCTCAAGAGAACTCCATTTTTGTAGTCAATTATGGGATGAAATCTGATTCCCCGTGTACTGTTTTCTACTTCCATACTTTGCTTTTGATCCAAATCACAGAAAATGCATTGATTATATAGTATTTTTCACTTGTCTTTTCTTCTGTATTCTTCAGTGACTTCAAAATAAAGCCTGTGTTACAGGAACTTCATTATGAACTACATCATCCCATACTACTATATTATATTATGTTCATCCAACATAACTCTCTGAACTTTTATGCTTAACAGTTTATAATTACATCAAATAATATCTATCATTTCTCACCCAACCCAACACTGAACAAGTTCACGAGACACTTGGAATGAAGAACCCGTGATCAAAACACTATAGCTCACAGTCACAGCAGACAAGAGAATAGCAGCAACAAAGCAAGTTAGCCACACGACAAAACCTCTTCCATGATGATATAGACACCCTTGGATTCTTCCCCTCTCTTTCCAACCAAACGCAAAAGACAGACCCGTGACTTCAACAAAGTTAAACAAATCCAACGTTTGAATTTGCTGTTACATACATACCTCCCTTCACCCATTAAAGCCTCAACTCATTTCTCCCATCAACTCAAATACACACTTAATTCATCATCTTCCATCCTCACCTCTCATTTTGTGTCAATCAAACTTCTTTGCTTTGCATGTGAGAAAATCAAACCACATGCATGTACAATCACAATGTGTGGTTGCTACTGCTGCAAATATATTTTCTTTACATAACATATTTTCATTTATAAAAATCGTTCAGGATATAATACAAATATTTAATATATTATCTATTTATCCCCACTTTCTAAATTTTTTTCTTAAATTTATCCCAGCTTTAAAAGTTATCCATTTCATCAATATGGATGATGTTACTGATACCAGTGTTTAAACTTAACTAATTACAAAAGAATAACTATAAATTCATCTAAAAATCTAAAACTAGAATTTTATTAAATTTTTTTAATATACTTTCTTCAACATTGCACAATTTAATCTAAATTTTAATTAAATTTAATCAAACCAAATTATTATTGTGTTTACATATAATAATATAAGTTTAGAGTTCATTATCATAATAATAAACATATATAATTATAACTTTTTTTAAAGATTGTATTTGAAAATTGATTGTATTTATTTATAATATATTTATACTTGTTAAAAATATGATAATAATTTTGGATTGTAATTTTTTATTATAAAATTTTATAATTTATTTATAAATTTAAGAACAAATTAAATTATGAATATAACTATAATCATACAACTATTTTATTATATATTTTTTTATTTAAAATATTTTCGTTAAAATATATTTTATAATTTTTTAAATAAAAATTTAATAATAATATAACCATTGGAAATATTAATTGATTTGATTGAGGTTTTATATTAAATTAAAGCTAAACCGCAAACCACAGTTAATTTTATATTTGATTTATATTATTATTTGATAACATAAATATCAAACCAAACACCCAATACCCTAATTACTAATGTATACTTATTATTATTGATAAAATTTTATTAGAATTAAAAAAAATTATAAGAGTAATAAAATTTAATAAATAATAATAATAATAAATTTACTTTTTAATTGTATTCATGGGTACCCATCAGTGTGCCTAAAGTATGAAAGGTCGCATTCTTGAGTTACATCTTTTCAGGAAAGAAAATGAAATATCACACACTTCTACCAAATCATCCAATTATCCAGATTACTAGGTTCTACAAAGAAACGGGACAACTATATCTATTGAAGAAATGAGAATAATAGAATAACACCACTTTAGATGACAACCAAAAGTTCACTTCATATCTATAAATCAATCTTTTTCTTCCTGTGGCTGTATGTCAGATTATATACTTTAAGAAACTGAATAAAACAAAACTATTTCATACAATACCAATGGCAGAAAAAATAAATTAAAGACAATAACACTACAAGGCTCAAAGTTTTTAGCCTTTTGATCATCTGTTCTCAGTCTCTATTAAGTTTTGGATCTCGAGATCCTTCGAATCAAAACCAAGAAGCAAAGCAAACGATACAGCACAAAGAACCCGATCAAGAAGTACACATTGGTCCACCTTTCACTCTCCTTTAGCCCTCTCTTCTGTAGCATATCAGCACCAGTGATCATGCATTGTTCATTCTCTTGGTACCATATCAAACACTTTGTCACCAAGCACGAGTACTCGTTAATGAGAAGGGCATCAAGAGCGTATTTGTACATAGACAAGAAGTGCATGAAGAGCCAGTACTTGGGTAAGCTATCCTTGGAGATAAAGTAGCCAGAAAAGAGAAAAAACGCTGCGAGAAGCACAGTCAAAAGCGAAGTTCCAGCAATGTAGTTGGGTGCAAGAGAGCTCAAGAAGAGCACGAATGAGTTTGCCATGAGAACTATGACCCAAATGACCAAAACAAAGTAAGCAAAAGAAAGCCAGGAAGCACAAAGACCAACTAAGAAGTAAACCGGGATAGAATATATAACAGCAACAACGAACAAGTAGGGCAAGAAAACAAGAGTATTTGCAATGAGATGAGAAGAAAGCCTATAAACCCCACTGGAAGTCTCTCTTAATATGATAGGCCTCTCGTTGATGAAGATGGGGAGGGTTTCTGTGGTGGAAGATAAGAGAAATGTGAGAGTGAAAGCAAATAGACCAAACCTTTTCTCGATCCCTTCTTTACCAAATCCTATGTTGATATAAATAGTTCCCAACACAAGCCCCACGAGAAGTGCTTCAGCAGTGTTGGTTAGAAG